ATATGATAATAATAAAATCTTTTTAGTTCTTAATGAGATTAATTTTTAAATAAGTAGAAATTTTCTGGTATCAAAACCCAAGCTTTGGCTTGCCAAAATTAGCTCCCTGTCTAAATTCTTATTAATTAATTAAATACATTTTATATTTTAGTGTACAATACTGCAAGAACCGTAAAGAGTAATGACTTCCCGGTGATTTCCCGGAAATAAGATTAGCCAAAGTTCACCTTAAGGAATCTAAACTGTAGACGGAAGTGTGCTGTGCAAATAACAAAAAAAAAACATATAACTTAAATCGGCGGCCTCAACGATGTGAGCCACTGTCACAGCCACAGTTTGGCAACAGAAATTGGCATCGTTTCAATGCAGCGCGAACTTATTTAAAGTCAACTGCTGCGTTTAAAACAGCGCCGGAATCGCGCTCGTTTCGCCTTAGTACAAGTAAGTTGAGCACAAACACAGACCGCAAGCTAAATTACGTGGCAGATTCAAATGAGCATTTGAAGCATTTCCATGGAAAACTTTTTTCGCCTCCCCGTGTATCTGCAAGTGTGTGTGCGCGTTTTTCTTTTTTTTTCTCTCGTCAGCGCGGAAATTGTAATGAATAATTTAGCTTTTAACTGTTCGGGGAGCTGAAACGGGCCAAGTTAGGTGGCCCGAGGTGGGAAGTTGGCTGGGTAGCTGGGCGGCTAGCTGGGGAGCTTGGGAGTTCGGGATTCCGGAGGAGGTGGCACGCAATCTGGTTTGGATGGCCAATGTGGTTGGGTTTAGTTTTTGGCCTGGCTCGGTTGCGTTGACAACCACTTTGAGTCGGAGGCTGAGAGTCTGGCCAGAGGAATCGCTTGCCCCAAGCAAATTTCGGAGTCCCCCCCCTCTTTAAACCGAATCCGAATTCTGCGCACCAAAAAGATATATGGCCATAGGAAGACCATAGCACTCGCACACAATTCACGACTGCACTTGGGCGGCTTCAATATAGTTTGTTTTATAGCGAACATATGTCTCTTTATTTCCGAAGAATATGTAAGGAAGGAAAATGGATTGAAAATACAATCTAATGTCACATTGTATTTTTGGCGAAATGAATATAATTTTGAAAATTATAATTTCACAATATATTCTAGATTTTATATTATTATAAATTATAATATTAATATAATATATACATACAATGTATTATATTACATCTTGTAATTGAAAAATAGTCAATCATATTTAAGATATTTCTATGAGCTTTGATTTCTTTTTAAATAATATTGGTATATACATTGCTGCTGTATTTCAATTAATAAAATGGAATCCAGACAATTTTCTAAGATATTTTAGGTCAACGGGTAAAAAGTTGTATTTCAGAGCATTAATTAAAAATCATTACATTGCACTTTTTACCTCTGCTAACTAAATTACGCTGTAAATTCCTTATTTTGGGGACAAATATATTTAAGAAATATTTAGTAGACTTTGTCGCAGTACAAAGCCAAATATACACAGAAAAACGATTGTCAAAAGATTAGATTGATATGAGCAGGTCAATTTTAAATTATTTAATAGAAGTAGTGTAGTTCTTTGAGGCCGCTCTTTACTGACACAACACTCCATTTCACTCCATAATAACCAGCAGATCAACGGAAGAGCCAAAAGAAGGCTAGTAGTGCACTTGTCGAGCCAAAGTCCATCGAAACCAGTTGAATGGGGTGTTTTTGCGTTGTGTGTTTTTTTTAAGATTGGGGACTGGGATCCCACCTGGCTGCGGATCTCAATTTCTGGCTGCATTTCACCCAAAATGCGACAGCCCGAGGTGCATTTCCGTGAAAATAATTGGCGCTGGCCGATGGTTGATGGTAGATGTTAGATGGACGATGGACGATGGCCGATGGCTTTGCACGCTTCCTTTTGGGGCTTTGATAACCAGTTTTGCGTTGGTTTAGCTGGCCGCACTGATTTAGTTTCGACTGTGCATTGGATTGGATTGCATAAGTCCGATTGCCAACGCATCGCTGTTTCCTGGCCCGATGTGTGTACATACCTGTACCGCCTCCAGTTTCCAGTTATCAGTTTTCAGCTTTCAGCCTCCCCTAATTAGTTTCTGGAATGCTCTGCGTCTGCCCATAAATTATGTGGAATCGCAAATGAGCAAATGACAAACTGGCGACACAATCCATTCGCGATTTGATACCGCCCGGAATTATCGGGTTCGTGGCGGCCTCAGGTTGCAACGGTCAGTCAGCAGAACTCGTTTGTGCACTCATCTATAATTTGGCTTCCATTCGATACCATTCTGATTCAGATTCTCATTCTGATTCTGATTCTGTTCTACAAACTGCAAACTGCAAATGGAGCGGGTGGCAAATTAAAATATTTCATTATAAAGCTGATGCAATTATTTGTGTCAGAAAATTGGTTCGGTTTTGTGCTGTTGTGCTGCAATTCGATTAGGTTAGATTTCAGCGCGATTCGATTACACACTCCTTTTTCCTAATTATTTCATGTTTTAATTTTTAATTATGCGATTTTCGCTGGGAGCCCAGACTTTAATCAGTCGCTAATGCGGCCAGCAAACGTCCATTTAAAGTAATTTTTCTGTCTTTAAAATTGAAATCCTAATTTTATAGTTTGCCTATATTTTTACCATTAGCTTTAGAGTTCAATTTGGCCTAAAATAATAATCACTCACTTGGAAGAACTTCCATTTAAACGTTGGTCAATGTTGGACCCTCAAATACCAAAAAATCAAATACGAAGATATTAGGAAATATTGTCTTTTAAGCTCTGCTAGCCCCCCATTTAATATTTCATATTACACCAAAGGCAATTTGTGGTGAATATACATAAAACGAGAAAAGTAGAGAGAAACTCAATATGCTGAAAGTGAAAAAGTTTGCTCCGTTTGATTTCAGCACAATATTCGCACTGAAGCACATCATCAGATGCTTTTCATCCGGGCCAAAAGCCAACCTTTCGAACCAACAAACTTGCTAAACAAAAACTAACCATGCATGAGAAACCGCTTTTTCGCCCATCTCCACCTCCATCTCTACTGCCCCCATATCATCATCGTTGGCACTACTAATTATAACACTTTCCTGTCCGAACGAAAGAACAATTAAATGGATGTTACCAGGCTCAGGACGAAGGGGATGTGGATGTGAATTCCGAGAAGAATGGGGGACTTTTAACTTCTGTACTCCGGTCCCAAAAACCTGAAACTCTGGAACGAAGAGAACTTTTAACTTGCCGCACACATTTTATGTCCGACTGCAAATTGGGGGACTTTTATTTGACATGGCATGGGCATTTTTTGGACAGAAACAGCTGAAGGTAGACGTTTTGGGGGCGGAATGTTAGTGTTGTTATGTGTGCTATTGCTAAAGTAACAGTTAAGTTTTATGGAAAGCCACTTGATTTTATTAGAAGCGCTCGTAAAATCATCGTCCGTTGTAAACGGTTCGTTCAACAACGGAAATGGCCAGGACCAGACCAGGCCAGACATCCACATCCACATCCACACCCAGTGGACTTGGCAAATGGAAGGACGTGGTCGGTGCAGGTCAGGACAGGACCTGTAATGCAAATACAAACTCCTAATGAGTGCAAGCTAATCCCACTTGAGGGAAACAAAGAGAAGGCAGCGAGAAGTGGCACTTAATGTAATGTGAGGAATTAGTACTATTTTAATAGAACTAAAAGTTCTCGAGCTAAGCGTTATCGATTCGCGTTAGGAGAGAAGAGCGAAAAATATTGAAAGGCTTGCCAGTTAGCAACTAGTATTTGGACCTCCTTTACTTAATATCAATAATATAATATAAAATATGGTATTAATGAATGCTTTATTTAAAGTGCGTAATTTAGAAAAGGAGACCTCTTAAAAGTGTTATTTGGGATTTATCGATCACCTTACTTCCAATCCCCAATTGCAATATAAAAACTAAAATTTAAAAAAAAACTAGTATTTAAAAAAATAAATGATTACTGTAGCAAATTACAAATTTGGATAATTGGCGCCCCCGGGTGGACTTAAAGTTGAAAAGTGCGTATTTTAGAGAGAGTGACCTCTTGAATGTGTTATTTGGTATGTATCGATCCCCATACTTCCGATCCCCGCTTGCTATATAAAAACTAGTATTTAAAAGAATAAATGATTATTGTAGCTTTACAAATTTGGACATTTGGCGCCCCCGGGTGGACTCAAAGTGGATAAGTGCGTATTTTAGAGAGGGGGGCCTCATGAAAGAGGTTTTTGGGACTTATCGATCCTTTTACTTCCGATCCCCGACGGCAAGTGGCAAGTGGGCGGTGGATGGGTGTCGATGACGCAAGCCAAATTGGAGCGGTGAATCTGCAGCTGAGAATGACCAACGGAATGGAAATGGCCAGAGCAAAGCAATCGGTTAATGGCCGTGATTGTGCTCCACAAATGGTGGTGCTCAGCTGGATTGGATCGCAGATCGCGGCGACACCACAAGGTGCTTGCCCCCAACGGTGGCAAGTTGCTAGTTGCAAGCGGCAAGCTGCATGTGCCGCCTGGTGGCCAGTTTCCAGCTGCAAGCTTAAAGGCGGCAATCCCAAGCGCCGACTATAAAACGGCGCAAAGCTGGCGAACCAATTTCACTCTCACTTTGTTGGCCAACACGCGAGCTAGCGATTTAAGCCGCCACAGTAAAATCGCGAGCGACACCGGCGCGTTTACTTAACCACAATAGCAGCAAAAACAGCAACAGCAACAACAACAAGAACATCCGTCTGCATTGAACAAACAAATAACCGTGAAAAGTGTTTATAAATTTGTTTGTTTTAGTTTTTTTCCTTTTTTGTTTTGGTTTGCCGCTTTTGTTGTGTTGGCCCGCCACACGAATCGAATTTTAATTGAGTGACAGAAGGAAACCAAATTAAAACGAAAACGAAAAAAGTGAACACACAATATAAATTATATATATATTGTATATTTACCCATATTTATATACACGTGTGTATATGGAATATATTGGTTTGAATAAATAAAGCACCAGCACAACTGGAATAATGCCTCTCATACGGGTAAATAATGCAAAATAGGATTAAGCCCATATAATTGAAATCGAACTCACTGAAAGTTGGCAATCAAATATTGATAATGATATAAATCAGCGCCTATTTTGATTATTTCCACTTGATTGCTTGCCATCGCGGCCAGTCGACAGATAATCGAAGGGAGATAATTTTGAAAAATGTGAAAAATGTGCATCGCTAGCAAGCATTTATTATTCATTAAATTTAACAAAACCCCTTTTTGTAACGCGAATGACAATAAATGTACCATTTAGTGGGACATTACATCAATAACATGGAGTAAACTCAATTCAATTTGTTTTAAGGTAGGAGATGATAGGATGCTTCCGTTATAATAAGTGTTGCTTGATGATATAGTACATTTTTATTGCCTTAAAAAAACTGTGAAATTGAGAAAAATATATTGGCTGTTAAATTGGAATTATCCCCCTATTCATAAACTCAAAAAGTTTCATTATTCAGTGGCTTTTTAAATCGGAAATAATTTATGTTTAATATAGATAGATTGCATTTCAAGTTTCGTTTGCTTTTTAATTTTTGTTATTATTCGTTTTTTACTAAAATACATAGTTGATGTAGTGGGTTCATAAAGTCACTGACTCGACCTCGTACAATTATGCCATCATAGATGAAACCATCCATTCAAGCCAATTGGAGTAACTAACCACCATAAAGCTGCCCAAACCGTTTCTCATCTCAAAAGATCAGATCAGATTTATCGCATACATATGAGTAATAACCGTAAACGGATTACCATAGGCTCGAACATTACAACATTCAACATTCAATGGGTTGGATGGTGGATGGGGTATGGAATGGTATATGAGATGGTATTCGCTGCTATGCTATGCAGCTTATTAATAATTACCTTTATGCCAGGTTCATTGTACATACATCGCTTGGCTTAATTACGAGTATTAGTTATTAATCGCGTGTGCAGTGGAATAATAAAAACAATAATGTGTGACAAGAGCGGAAAACAATTGCACTTCGGTGGATAACATTTTTATAATTGCATATAAATCAATTTAATTAAATTATTATTATGGATATTATGGATTGCAGTGCAAATATTTTTAATCAAGAGCGTTTTTCCGACACTTAATGCACTAAATTAACTAAGAGGAATCCAAAGCGAAATGAGAATGACGAACTTATTGAGTTGATTTCGCTTTAAGTTGATTTCAATTTCGATTTCATTTCGATTTGCTCTTATTTGCTTATTTTTTTCCACCAATGTCCAGGTATTCGCCGCAATCGTCTGCTGTTGCCTTTTGGCGACTGGCAGCAGTCAAGGAGAGGAGATCGAAGCGATATCCACCAAGGCCGCGGACAAGGTCGAGGCCATAGCCACCACCAAGTTGACCCCCAGCATTGTGGAGGACACCAAAAGCAAGACGGAGAAGCGCGACTCATCGGATCAGACAGGTGAAGATAGAACATAAATGTTTTTTATTTATAATAAAAAAAAAACAATGGAAATATTAAATTTTACTATTTTTAGTTAATTAAAGAATTTCAACTTTGATTTTAACACAAAATTCTTTTTCACTACACTAAAAACTGCTAATAATCTCTATCTTATTTATAATATGTTAACATTAAATCAAAACATATATCTTTATTTTAAATCTCAAATATGGATATTTAACATTATCTATATCTTTATAAGTTTTCATTACACTTCAAAATTGCTTCAAATAAATGCGACCTGCATTGTAACTAATCCTTTTTACCTTTATTCTTTTATTTAAATATATATTATATTTTTGTATATATTTGAAATATTAAATACGCCATTTGGAACTTAATTTCCAGATATTTATTTTTACTATTAAATTTTTTTATCAATACCCAAACCTAGCTTTTTCATTTCCTTAGCAAGAAAGTTCTCAGAAAATTTGAGCTAAAATCTGTTAACAAATTGTCCTATGCTTCTACTACATATATTTTTTTTTCCATTGAAAATGGTCAAAAAGGTGAAATTTTTCAATTATAAAGCTCACAGTGAACAGTATCTTAATACTAACATTTCTGCACATAAATCACTTTAAACCACTCAATATGGGCAGCTCTAACTCAATAGTAACCACTTCAAGTGGAGCCACAGAGTGATTTCCTGTATTTATGGTGCCTCACCGCAAATTTACCACCCCACAGGTGGGCCGTACTTGAGCCTGTCGAGCAAGGACCCTCCGTTCCGACCGATCTACCCGCCCAGCAGCCACTTTGAGTCGCCGGAGCCGCCGACGCCCATCTTCGGACCCACCACACTGCGCTACACGGCAGCGGAGGCAGCACCACCACAGGTATGCAGCATGCAAAGCAAAGCTGGCAATGCAATGCCGAAACCGCAGAGCACAGTGCATTTAATTACCGTTGAACCACCATCATCTCTCCTTACTCCGAAAAGGCTTTCTACGGCCAGAGGGCGCCACCGCAGCAGCACCGCTTCAGCTTCGCAGCGCCACCGCCGCAAGTGGAACCCTATCAGCGGCAAGTCGCGTTTAAGCCAGCTGCCGCCTCGCCGCAGCCTCAGCCACAGTCGATTTTCAATTACGGCGAACTGGAGCCGGAGGTGGGTGCCACCGCACCGCTGACCCACCACCAGCGCAACCACCAGCCCAGTCAGCATTCCAAGTATCTGCAGCAGCCGCCGCCGCCGCAACAGCAGAAGTTGCAGCAGCGCATTCAGTACATCATCGCCATACCGCTGTCGTACATGCGGCAGTTGCAACAGCAGCAACAGTTGCAGCAACAGCAGCAGCAATTCCTCTTTTCACCACCACCACCCACCACCAGCAGCAGCAGCAGTTCCACCAGCACTAGCACCACCAGCAGCACGGCACCACCCTCGGCACCATCGCAACCACCGCCCACTGGCACGAGACACTCGCCGGTGGTGCAGCTGCTGGGTCCGCTGGCCCGCGACCATCAGGGTCAGTACAAGCCCTACTACCAATCGGATGCAGCGAGTGCACCACTGGCTGGACCCACGGCACCGCTGATCCACCAGCCCTACCTGCAAATCCCCACCAGCCTACTCATGGCCGCCGCCCAGCAGCTGCAGCAGCACCACTACCAACAGCAGCAGCCTCAGCCTGTCTACGCCAAGGTCGCTGCACCACCCGCACCACCCACCTACCAGCCCGCCCAGCTCATCTACCAGCCCCAGGCGCACCACCATCCGCAGCCACAGATCCAGCTGCAACTGCAACGCATCTTCCTGCAACAACCGCAGCCACAGCAGTCCACCATCTACGCCGAACAGCCGGGTCCACTGTATGGTAAGCAATCCAGTAAGACCTCCATGGATTCCCCTAGATACCACTGAAAGAAAAATAATATTATTCCTAATACATCATCAATTCCATTTGATATTACCATGCTTGGGTATATAAAGTACCTACAATCTAACTTTATAACAGTTAACAGGCGTAATAGAGTTGTCGATTTAATTCTGAAAAAATTATCGATTAAATCGATTTAAAGTCGAAAACAAACAAATTTAAAATTAATATTATCATGCTTAGGTATATAAAGTACAATCTGATTTTAAAACAGTTAACAGGTGTAATAGAGCTGCAAACTATTCTACTTTTTGTGAATCAATTCTTTTCGATTGAATTCTTAAAAAAAAGATCGATTAAATCGATTAAAAAATTAAAACAAAAGGAAGAACAAACAAATTGATGGGAAACCCAGAAATTTAGACATCGATTTCGAATTCATTACTTTACTTGAGTTATATAATATTACTTTAAAATAATATTTTCGCTTATTTAAAAAAATTCGATTTTTTCACTCATCCAAAAACCGCTATTAAATCGGGTTTAAAATCAAATTGTTAAATGTAACATCGAAAAAATATTGTTAAGTCATAATATAATTTTATTTATTCATCAGCAGCCTCGAGTTATTGGCAAATTAATTTTTTTTAGATTTTCATAATAGTATTTAAGGTTATGTCACCGGTCAATATCAATCAAGTGTGGCTTGTGCCCATGCCTCCAGTACTATTCCGTTTATTTGAGCTCTCTATTCGCTGTCTGTTTGAACTCAATTCGTTTGGGGCCAACTGTACCCCGTTTATGGTCAGTAAATCGGTGACAGGGGCAATTAGCGAGCGTAATGTAACTGACTGTCAAAGTGCTTGGGGCGTGGGATTAAGCCGGGGAATCAGAGTCACAATCAGAATCAGAATCAGATGACTGTAACCCATTTGTTTTCCTTGCGCCTTTCAGCGTATCCGCTGCAGCAGCAGCAACACCAGCAGCAACAGCAATACCAGAAGCCGCACCAGCAACAGTCCTTGAAACAGTCGCAGCAGCAACACAAATACACGCCTGCAGCGCCAACGGCACCGACAGCATTGACAACATCAACAACGAGCACGGCGGCAACACAAGAGGCAGCAGCAGCAGCGACAGCAACAGCAACATCCCATGCAGCAGCAACAGCAACACGTCAACAACACTTGCCCCTGGTGCACTACAATCCCATTTACGTGCAGGCGCCCCCCGAGCAGCAGCAACATCAGCAACATCAGCAGCAACTGCAGCAGCATCAATTTGCCATATTGCCACGTTTTAGCAATAATAACCCCAAGGCCGTGTACAACATGGCCCACGAATCGGGGGCTCCCATTCACGTGGTCAGATTGTCGCCGGCAAATGGGCCGCCGATCCATCACTACCACCACTACCAGCCGGCGTTGCAGCCGCTTTATAGCCATGCCCCGCAGCAATATGTATCGTCCTATGGAGGAGGAACCGCCGAAGAAGCTGCAAAGTCGCCGCCGTCACCCGTTTCTGTTTCCGTTTCCGGTTCGGGCTCTACTTCCCTTTTAGCCGGGCCCACGCCATCGCCCATGATGACCGCAGCCTCGCCGGCCATTATACCATATTTCAGCCATCCGGGTGCCGTGCATTATGGCACGCATTTGTATCACCCGGGAGCAGCAACAGCACTGGGTGCAACATCAGGGGGAGGGGGAGGAGTTGCAGGAGCACCAAGAGCAGCAGCTGCAGGACCAAAGCAACAGTCGACCGCAACAAGTGGGGGACAGCTGCCAGGTGACAGCAACAATATTGTGAAATATCCCTAAAGCGCTCAAAGCAACAATGACAGCAGCAACAGCAGCAATAGCAGCAGCAGCAACATCATCACCTAGCGCTAGGATGGCTTAGCTTTAAGCTCGATTTCACCACCACCACCAGCACCACCCACACATCCTTAACCTTTGTTTGGCCCTCCTATTTGTTATCCTTATCCGCTGTTTTGCTGCTCCTGTTTTTCGGTACGCTAATTACGTATTTTACTCGATTTCTAACCCCTTTTAAGCCCCATGCTCTTTGTTGTTATTATGCAAATCTGCTGCCTTCAAGTTTGCTTTTTCAACTTTTAATGAGTTTGCCCCGTGCTCCGTTCGGTTCGGTTTTTGTGTAAATATATTTAAGAAATTTTCCAATAGACTCGCCAAATAAACATTTGCCTAAGCCAACATATAAGTATGTTTCCACTGTTTTAGCCTTAGAACTCTCGTTATTTGTATTTTAATGTTACGTTTACATTTATGGAATTACGTTTTTTTTTTGTTGGTACACCTAATAAAAATTATACTCACTTCACAGAAGGTTTTTTCATTTTTTTAAAGATTCAGATGAATAATAAAGGAGATAAAAAATATAGTATCTGTGGTCTGTCTTATGCCAGCTTATTGTCGAGCCATTTAAATTGGCACTGATGGGCTACGCAATTATGCTGGGAATTTAATATTTAAGTACGCATTCAGTGCAATGACTACGAAAATGAATCACGCATCGGTTAAATCATTAATCTCATATCCATTAATTGACTTATATGGACTTTACCCATGCACAGTGGGCTAAATTTGATTATTTCTGGTATTTTTTAATGGGGAAAACAGAGAATCTGAAGTACTTTTGAGATAATCCAGAGCATATCTTGGCATTTATTGAATACAAATTACATTTTATTCATTTATACTAATAATACAAAAAATTCTTTAAAACTCTCCTGCAACCAAAACGTCTTGACATAAAAACCATAAAAAAATCCGAAATTCGGAAATAATATTTACAAATAGCTATTAAAGTTTACGAAAGAATTTCGTAAGTAATTTCAATAATTTTGTTGATTTTCCACACTGTGCAATGATCAGAACTCGAACCCAACCAAAGGCTCGAAACGAAAAAAAAAGAAAACAAGTTAAGCTCTGGCGTTCGCATAAATGCTATAAGTGTATTTTTGCGAATATGATAAGCTGAGTGGCACGCCCACTTTGGGGTGGCTTCAATTAAAATGTCTATTAAGGAACCCGCGTCTGTGTGTTTGTGTGTGCAGGTGTGGTCGTGTGGTGCAGCTGTCAGAGGAATCTGTGTTACTACAATTTCCGTTCAATTCATTTAATAATAAGCTTCTGCATTATGCAGCAATAATTAAAAGGCCAAGCGAAGTGAAAATCCCAATCCAGCAGCTTGGAAATGCAATAATTATGCAGAAAAAGTCTCGATTCGGTGGAAGGAATGGTGAGACAACAAACAATACATGTTTTATGGATCTCTCAGGATTTATCTCTTCTGCAACAAGTAGTTATTATCACTGGCAAAGAAAGTAAACAAAATAATTAGTTCACGTTGAAGTCGAAGCTTATTTGGTTCTTACAGGTATTCAACATCTTGAAAGTGCGGTTGTTAATCATATTTCTGTGGTCTTTGGCCTTTAAAGAGCTTCCTTTGTACAATGTTGGTCCTAAAAATCAATGTAAAGGATTATTCTATTAATTTTAGTATTTCTATTAAATAAAATAAATATTTTTTTAAATTTATTTTTAATTAGTTGTATTCCAGTGACGCTTTGCGCATTTCATTTAGCAAAGTAAGCATGGTGTAGGCTCCCTTGACCATCTGCAAAGTACATAATGTTATAAGTGATAGATTAAAAAAGATTTCAACAATAGCACATACCACCATAAAGGTCTTCATGCTGATGGGCACTATTATCCCGGAGACCAGGATCAGCGGCTTCTGGCAGCGCACGAGCATCAGGAGGAGGAGTCGCCGGAAGTGGACCGACTGGTCCAGCCAATTGCAGCTGTAGACCGCCGCCAGCAGACTCTCGCCCTCCCGGCAGAGGAGCTCCGCCGTGTAGCAGAGCAGCAGGGATTCCGTGGTGAAGGCCATCAGAAGAGACATCATGTTGGTGAACCTCATGATCCCCACTTCCTCGAAGAGCAGGAAGTAGGAGATGGTGCACTGGGCACAGGCTGTGCAGAAGAACTGCATGAAGCAGGTCATCGAAAGGGATCTCTCCAGCGATCTGAACAGACTGTAGTGATACATTTTATTAAATTATTATTATTTTTTATTAACTTATTCTTAAAGAATAAGAAAATCATGCGACAAAATGATAATCTCGAAGCAACGTTTTTTTATTATTTTTAAAAATATAAAAGTGATATTGCATTTCATCAGAACGAGTACCTTTTCCTATAAATTTTATTTTGCATGCAAATAAAGACATATTTTTAGAGTTACGGACATTTAGGATTTCGTAAAAAACAGAGGTTAATATATGTAGCTCTCTTATATAACGTACCATTTTCCTGCCCCTCAGAAAATCCGAAGTACAACTATTAGTTTCATATTCAATGTATTTGGTTTGATTTTTCTCGATTGCAGATCTAATTAAATTGATATTTTTTTAAAAACTTAGTTAATTTAAGGATTTGGAACTTTGATTTTATTATTTTTTTTATTTTTTATGAAATTAAAAAAGGCCCTAAGTAAATAGGACTGAAATCAGTTCAAATATGGTCTGCCTCGATGTTATAATAAAAATTAAATTTTTTGTAAATTTTCAGATATACTTATATTTTTACTAAATTTTAAAGAGCCTTAAAAAATTCTGATTTCCGCATACTCACTGCAAAATGATCTGATGGTCCTGTATATAGCCCAACAGGATGGCCTGCATGCGGTGCGCTGGGAGGGATTGACCGTGTCCCAATCTGGAGACTCGCAGGGCGAGCGCCTTGGTGTGGGCGCTGATCAGGATGAAGTAGGTGCACGGATAGGTGCTTAAATTGAGCACCACCATGGCCGTTTCTATCAGGGCGAAGGTGTGCAGGATGATGGTGGGCAGGTAGGCGGCGGTGGTGTCCTTCCAGTTCCACGGGATCCAGGAGGGATACATCAGCGTGGGTTCGCTGGCCAGGGAGATGTAAAAAACGCCGAGAACGACCACACCGACAACGGCGCGCAAAATGACGCGGAATATGAACTCCGCTGCGGCGACTCCCTCGCCGATAATCCGGAACTCCTCGGGGCAGCCCAGTCGGCCGTCCAGATACCGGAGCAACTGGTGGATGTGGAGCATCTCGTCGCGCTTCAAATAGACATTGATCACCTTCAGCATGTAGAGCGTGTGCGGCATGGCCACGCAAAGGCTCTCGCAGAAGGTCTCCAGCGAGTTGGACAGCAGGAAGTTCACCACGAAGGACACCCACATGCAGACGTGAAAGGCCAAATTCCAGGCTATCGAGTACGCCCTGTAGTGGCGACCCCACATGGTCGCCTTATCCGGCGGATGCAATCCAATCATCCGAAAGATGCGCCAATGGCTTACCAAAGCCCTCGTTGAATCCACTTCCACAATGGACATGGTTGTCCAGGTTTCTATAGGTTTCTCCAGGTTTCTTACTCCTCCTGAACTCAAACAGCTCCGACTGGCCCTTTTATAGCCAATCCATTAATCCACTCACCCGACTATCTATTCAGTCAGCCGCAAATTATGCAAATTGCTGCAAATTAGACCGAAAAAGTTTGGGAAAATGGCCACCACTTCACACCACTCGATTCCGAATCGAAGCACCCATTCCAGCAATTACAAGGGCAATAGTTTTTGAGAGCAGGCCCATCTGGACAGAGAATAAGCATATATATATTTAAGTCGTCCTTCTATCAAGATTAACGCCACTGAACTACCAAGGAAAAGATTTTGATAAAAAGGTTTCTGGGTATTTATTTTGAGTATAAACAATTTTAAAGCAAATAAAAATATGTTAATTATATAATTAAGCAGATTGTGAAGTCTCTTTCCTTAGGATTCTACTTGCCGTCATCTCGATTACCGAACATGGCTAGATCGACCTGCCAAATAAGGCTTACATGTGTAGCTTCTATAATTCTAAAGATCCAGGTGTACGAACATAGACGGACATACAAAGTGCTTTCCCACTACTTAGTACAGTATACGTCGTTGATTACACGTAGATTTCAGACGATTTTAATAAAATTTTAAATAAGATGATGCCCAAAATAATCAAACATTTTAAATAATATACATTGTTGAAAAGACTTTCTTTAAAAAAAATTTTATTTTTAAAATATACTTCATTGATAAAGACTAACCCGGTCCCAAGTTCAAAGGGGCAACCTTCCCCTTTCCCTGAATATATTTCAAACCCGTTTTGACTCACCGCAAATAAGCCCTTTCCAGTTTGGTTTATTTTCACTTGGAAAGGTATCCAAAGGCAATTTTGAGACAGAGAGAGGGTGGATGATTGCTCGCAGGTGGTGTGTATTCAAATTAATAATGCCAAATTGATTATAAAACATTTGTCAATGGCAATCTGTTGGGGAATGACCCGTCCAAGGGAAGAATAGACCTCCCAAAAACACACGCACACACACGGAGTAAGGCACCATGATTGAATATGATTGATATTGGGTGGTATAAATTATGAACAACAACTGAGCAGGAGGATAGGAACCCAGGCCGACCTGATCCATCAGGGCAACCTGTCGCGACCTTGGCCATCCAGAAAAAAAAACAAAAAAGAGCTGCGTTAGCCAAAAGATTTGTACGCCAAGATGGCATAATTAAATTGGCCAACGAACAGGTGCCATCGGTCGTCAGGTGAATTCCCATTCAATTACGGCCAATTGGTCCTCTTCCCTGAACGAAACTTTGCAATTGTCGGTCGAATCTAGAATATTCGCATATCGATTCGATGCGAGGCTAATGCGATTCAATTTAGAGCATTTCATTTGCAAATTGCTGGCCAAATCGTCGGTTCATTATCTTATAGCCATAGGTCAAACCATCTCGATTATTTATTCCGTTCGGTGCCCACGCAGCCAAATGTCAAGATTCATTTTAATTGATTCTTGATTCCAGTGCAGTTTTGTTTGTATTTATTGCGGGTTCTTTGAAATCAATTTGATATGAAGAGGTTTTTGATTAGTATTTCAATTCTTTCAATATATTTTATTTTAACGAATTTACCTTAAATTGTATGAAAAAAACATTTGTTGTCTAAAATAAATCGAAAACTTGCTATTCATTTATTTCGGCTTTTGCTTGGCCGGCCGACGGAAATGAGCGATTTAATTCTCAATTTCCGACTGCTTTTAGATTGGAACGTATGCAAATTTCTTGAGTTAATTAAATGTGTAATATGATATGAAATGATAATCATATTATACTCATAGTATACCCAAAACAAATTGAAACGATATAAAATTAACAAAAACGGGATTCAAAATGACCATATTCAATATTTCACGCAGTAATTTATAATGGACATCCGTTGCGAATAAGAAGGCTGTAATTTAGTTAAAGAAATGTTAATCGAAATTAAATTTAAAAAAAATTAATTTTTTTAGTTTATAAAAACTGTAAAATAAAAAATTGTAAAACAATTTATACAAGGTATGTAGACCTTAATATTTTTATTTTTTTAAGTTACTTTACCATAGGAGGATTATTTAAACAGAGGAACCCCGATATCGTTTGAGCTGCTATTTAACGCTACTTTGTTTTAGGTTTTTTTGTTGTTTTTGCATATCCTGGTCATATAAATGACCTGTCTATTGTCAATTTCTCCGTTCTCAATCAAGTTCCCTCCAATTCATAGCTGTTTATACATAGTAAGTAGGAATCATCCCACAGCACTCGGATGCAGCGGCCCACGCAGAAACTGGAACTGAGCTTCAGCTATCAAAGCCGGCATGGCCAAACCGAAGCAAAGTCGTCAAGTACGCGCTTATAAATAGCCCGATGCCCAAACAAATAAATATATGAATGAGCCAGCGAGCGGCTGACTCAATCTCTAAAATGATTTAGACTGAAATGATTTTAACTGAAAGCGGGCAGCACAATGCTTGAAAAAGGCGCAAAGTCAACAACAAAACAAGCTTTTCAACAGAATGCTTGGAGAATATTCGCTATAACGCCGCTGCATTTAGAAAAATAAATAGTTTACGATCAACTGGTTGAAATGGACAAAAATTAATACTTTAAATGTTTAATATTTCAACTCTAACCTTTTTACGTTAGTCACAATTTAATACATTTATTTTTATATATTATTTTATTTTTGTATTATTTTTATTTATCTTCTTAAAATGTACAGCAATTTAATATATATAAATAAATAGGCTTAGGCTTGTTTAAAATTTTAATCATCTCTCTTTGGGCTTGTAAAATCATTATTAAATGTATAATTAATTAACACCATTTATCATCAGAATCTGAGCATATATTTGATATATTCAATCGGTTTAAGACTCCAGTGATCTATTCCAATTTACTAAACTGTCAATTCCAAAAAAGAAAAATGAATGGGAAAATTTCAAAATAAATCACATTAGCTGTTGAACTTAAAGGTATTTTCGAAAAAAAAAACTATATTTTTTTCTGTGCGAGAGGAAGGGAATAAAAGGTAGCAGCAGGGGAAAGGGGAAGGGGGAAGGGGGAAGGTGAGCAGCTGAGAGATGACGCCAACGTCGCTCAGCTGTTTCTCACCTGAGTCAAGAGCCGCGGCCTTATAAATAGCCCAAGCACGTCTAGAAGCCGACTCAGTTGAAATCGAACATTACCCAGTGAAAAAACGGAACCATTTACGAATTTATATATTTTTTTTGTTTTTTATTTTACGTTGTTTATTTGCTGTAGTGCGAGTGAGTTCTAAGAACTTAACCCAAAAATGGTGAGTTGCAGTGGGAAAATACAGCCAACCAATCAAGACTATTTTTGCTGCTATTTTTTTGTTTGTGTATAAAGTTATCGGTTCATAGTAAATGTATATGTTTTTTGATCAGCATCATCAGGAATGTTGTCCTTCGATTAAATAAAATAAATAACTTACATAGATTTAATATAAAAAAATTAAAAATATAAGTTTAAACTTGCCCAAGTTAACTTCTCCTTCGTCTTATTTTGGTTTCTTTACTGCTGATAAAATTACGCACAAAGACAACACGTAAAAAATGCATTCAGGTAAATGCTACGTGAATGGAATATATAACATAAGCCAACATGAAAAAAAAGTAAGGGACAACCCCGACGATAATTGAGAACTTGAGTTTTGGTCGTAATGTTTACTTCCGGTTAGCTAGAAACGCTGTTAACAATCAGTTACCGATCGATTTTAATGCGGAATACCCTAGAAGAATATAGAAAATAAAGAGAAACATTTTTTTTTCATATTTCTATTTAATCAATTAAAAAGAATAACAAAAAAATGTCTTGTTCCCACATAAAGTCTTCTAAGCCCACGATCAGTTGGTTTTTAAGTGGTTTTGATTTGCCTTTTGTCTTTTCATTCTTGTTGTTTTTTGAGAAGATCAATCACTCAAAATTTTTTAAGCTGTGCAAGTAAATAACAAGCCCATTATTCATTTGCTTATGCGACAAAACTAAAAAAACAAACCAATTAATATCTAGCACTCCACTTCACTTAACCAGAGGTGGTTTTTTATAACCCGCAAATAACCAGTGCCAATATATTTTTAAACTCATCATTTACAAAGATGGACATCGTGAACAGATCAAGAACCAAACATGGCCCTCATTCACTTCCTTCGAACAATGTAATCTGATTACAAATTCCCCCACTAAATATACGAATAAAGAAATCCAATTTCCTCTGACAATTCAATTCCCACCCTCAGTGGATCAAACTCAACCCATATACGTGTGATGATCGACAACTTAGTTAATGCGAATATATGCGGACTATCCATATTGGTCGCCCAGAGTAATTCAAAAAGGCAGCCGGTCAATTTGCATAATCTTATTGTTTGACTCCGATTTGATTCATGCTTTTTTGCCCGAATTGAACTTCCAAAGAAGCGGACAACAAGTTTATCTCCTATGTGTCATCCGCAAACAATGATCGTCGGCACCTTGAACGCCGAGAAGCCATATCATCATCGATCGTTATCTCATCGCGTTGCCCGGCTAAACCAAATATGGTCTCAAGTTACTTTCAGGCAGCAGAATCCCATTAGGAAGTCCAAACTAATGTTTGTCGGTCAGTCAATTGTTATTGGGCTTTTTCGAATAATGTGTTCTCACTTCGTGGCGATGACACATAAACCCGCAAGGGGGCTTGTTTCGAACATTTTTGTGAATATAATATAGATATTAACTTGTTTCATTTAAATCGAATTATTTGTATGCCCTATAACTTCTAAATTTAGTAAATTTCCTGCTTATTAAAATTATTTAATAAATAATTAATTAAAAAAAATTAAAATGATGTAATCATAGGGCCTTTAAAGAATCGACTAAATAAAATGGAAATTTAATTTTTGGGGTACGAAAATACTCGTTTTTAAAAATATGGCTTGATGGTTTTAATAAATGACAGTTTTTGGCAAACTCAATGCTATTTTTTTTTGGAACGAAACCAAAAATGCAGAATGCATGCAAGTTCATATATTTTAAACAAACGCACCTACACATTATTACTCATTCGCAGTGTTGTCTCTTTTAAAAAAATTAAATATGGTAAATTTATACAATCAAATAAAAAAAATTAAGTATTAATGAAGTAATAAAAATATATCAATAATTATATAATTAAAATATATTTCCAGGAATAAAATTTGTACTTTCTGGTACACAGATCTTTTCTACATTTTTAGTTTTGTTAAATAAATCATTTTAATTTTTTTTCTCAAATTGGGAATCTTGATGTAATAAAAATATATTAAAAATTAAATAATTGTAATATATTTCCAGGAATAAAATTAGTATTTTCTGGTACATAGATTTTTTCAATTTTAATTCTCTTCTTGCAGCAGCAGCTCCTCCTCGTGGCACTGGTGGCGGTGGCCATTGGGTCCTTGCCCCAACTAGCCGTAGGTAAAAAGATCGAGAAGCGTTGTGTGAACTGCACATATCGTACATACTACACATACGGCGATGGGCGATCCCTGCAGCGGGTTGTCTATAGAGATCCGGTCTACACACGTGGTATTTACAGAACATTTCCGTTGTCGCTTGCGTATACGTAATATTCCTGCACCAGCACACGATGTACATAAGAGAGCACCGCGCAGCACTGACTGAAAAAAAAAAAATCACTCGTATTTAGTAATTGTAGCAGCTAACCCCTTGTAACCGATAGAATATATAGAATATAATATATGGAAGATAGATAGATATCACCGCTGCACCTGTGCATCACCTCACCACCACTCTTCCTTTCGCCCCTTTGAACAGCCCAACAGTCGTACAGCAGCGGATGCAGCGGGAATCCGTGCGGCGTGAATGCCGTGTGCCAGGAGGCCTCCGGAGGACGTCCTGTTTGCTCCTGCCCGCCCGGATTCAGCGGTAATCCGCTCACCCACTGCAATCGCGGCGAGTGCCTGGACAACGTCGACTGCCGGGGCGACCTGCAGTGCAAGGACAATCGCTGCGTTAATCCCTGCGTGGGTGCCTGTGGCATTGGCTCGAATTGTGACGTAAGTTTGGAGTCCGCCAAAGGGATTTTTCTCCCTGCCTCCCCATTCTGACCACCGGAATTTTCCCCTTCGCAGGCCCGCAACCACGTGGCCGTGTGCAGCTGCCCAGCGGGCTACAATGGCGACCCCTATCACGCCTGCCACCTCAACGATCCGGGTGAGTGCCACTACCAGTTCCAGTAATACAGCGTAATATCCGGGGTGTCATAAGAATCGCGCGAAGCCCACATGTCAATCGGTTTGGCTGAAACTCTGAAATATCCCATCCGGTATTTACCCTTTTTCACATCTGCTTCAGAGTCAACCTTCCTTCTTTGTCACATTATAGATTTTTATTTTACAAGAAATAATTATTCTCACTTTACTAAGAGCCATAGAAAATTTATATGATTTTCATATATATTTTATAAATATTTTTTTATGATATTTTATTAATATGTACAAATTTTTGAAAATCCCTTATTTTTATAGAAAATTGTTACATGTTTATTACATTTTATTAAAAAGTAGGTAATGTACTAACACTTCCATAGCCAAAATCCTTCAACAGATTTATACATATATAATATAAATCTGAAAAGGGTCTTACAATCATCGTTTTAATGGCCATTGATAAAAAAGGAGGCCTTGACAACCTGATTATTTTAAAGGACAGGTGAAATCAGGTCGAACTGGCTTAAGATGTATTTCTTTAAAGATTGTTAAAGATTATAAAAAGGCCCGGAAAAGGAATTACAAAGCAAAAATACCTAAAACTATTTAAAAATCAACGCCTATTAGTTAGCTATTTGTAAACAACAGCATGTTTGTTTATTATTGCTCATAATGAGTTAAAATAATGTGGGAATTCGACTGTTGCGGAAGCCCATAGATTTGATTGACAGAACACAAGATAATTAGCCGACATTGTAGTGCGAATATTTTTAGTGCAACCCACTTGCGAATCGCCTTTTGTCCATGGACTGACGTCTCGCGAATCCAACTGGTATTGTCCAAATCGGGCCAAATATATCAGCAAAAAAAACAGGGGGCTGGGCCAGCGAAGCATGTGGGATTCGGGCTTGCATAATGAAATATTTCGCGCTCAATGATAATAACAATAATAATAATGGTTATAATCCATAACAAACGCCCAACAACATTTGCCCAGAATCGCACTCGGGGCCTTTTGTAATTTTATGGTAATTAGCGTAGCATTTCGTTTTATAATTGTCAAGATCAAGGACGCAGGCGTGTGGGCGAGTGGGCGAGTCCCAAGGCCAACCAGCTGGGAACCGACGGAAAGGTAGCCCCGCGGCCCCAAGTCAACATCCGATTATGGTCATAAGCCTGTTCAGGTCCGCTAACGAATTCAGGTAGCAGTCGTCAGTCCACTCAAAGTCGGTCAATTGGGGAATTACTGAGGGAGAAGATAGCTTGATCAACTACACTAAAAATAAAACTAGAAATTGTTTTTTAAACCTAGTTTTTATTACACATTCAAAATTTAAATTCTCTATAACCTTGTTTTTCAAATTGTAGTCTTTACTTATTTTATTTAGATATTATTTTTTTCGAGGTCCTCCATATAAATTTTATTTATTTTTTAAAGATTTTATTTCTAAACTGTTAATTTTTTATAACACATTGAAAATGCAACTTCTTATAATTTACATTTTTATTTATTTAATTTAATAATGATTTTTTCGATGTTCACAGTATATTTCTATTCAAAACAATCTTAGCTCTTAAATCTCTTTGCAGTCTTTTTTTTTATTACATATTAAACATTGTTTTTCTAATCCATTTTAATTTATTTAATAATAGAAAAGCTTCGGGAATTGTTATTCAATCCAAAGTGCATTCCTCAGAGAAAATCTCTTGTTCTATAGCCTAAAGATTTTATTTCTAAACTCTTAAAACTCTTTGCAAACTTTCCAGCGTTTCGCTCAATCAAAGTTGAGAGCAGGGAAAAGTGAAAATAAATTAAAGGCCATTTTACAACGTAAAAGTTCCAGTAGAATATTGTTTTCGACATGAATTTCTTTAGTTGTTATACTTCAGATTCAGATTTAAAAAGAAAAGAAAGTCGGCATTAATAAATTGAATTTCCTCGTTGCTCATTTGGGATTTCCAAGACCAATCCCATTCCCATTTCGGTTCACGTGTTCGTGTTCTTTCTCCTTCTCCGGCACTTTGCACTCCTTTTTGCGATTTCTGCATCTTAACCGCCCATCGATATTTATTTTCTTGATTTCACTCGCATCCCCTTCTGTGTTGCTTTAATTTAAGTCCCTCGCCTGCGTGCAATTCCCATTGAAATACAATATTTATTTGCATTTCCAATTAGCAACTGACTTGAAAACAATAATTGTAAACGAACAATCTACAGGGACTGGGAGGAGCTTGAGCTTGAGTTTCAGGATTCCATTCCGTTTATTGTTTTTCCTACCGAGAAGCGGAAGCAGCCTGGCAGAGATGCATTTCCTTGCGGGCTGACAATGTCCGGAAACTTCCAAAAGTATTTACCTTAAATACTTTTTCACGAATTTAAGTTCAAATTCTGTAGTCTTTAATCTGTAATAATAGTAATGGATATATATTTCGGTTTAAATGAAAGAGAGCTTTCGTCTTAAACGAGACTTTTTCCCCCAAGACATTTTGCAATCGATTTTCAAAATAAACTCTAGATTTCATTACAATACATTTTCTCGGCGCTGGAAAGTTGGTATACTCCTCGCAAATTATGTCAAAAGGAAATGTAAGAGAAAAGGCCTGATAATGGCGAAACTTTTGCCATCGGAACGGAAAACAACGGAAAATAATTTCTCGGCTTGCTCACCGCACCATCATCATCATCATCATCATAATCAAGAAGGACCAAGAAGAACAACAATTGGCATAAACATAAAAGAAAATATAAGTAGAAACCAAAAATATGCGCATAAATGAGCGCTATTTTGGCTATTTGAATGTGATTTTCTATTTCGACGTTTTGAGTGCCGTGGCCCCCAATTATTGGGCCGACTGACGTCGCTTTCTTGCTGGTTAAAGCGGAACCCTCGGCCGGAACATAAGTCATATGACCCGGCATAAATCAAAAATTGGGCAGCGGCGACAGCGGATGTTGACAGGGGGTTGAAATGAGGTGAAAGGTGGAAGGTGAAAGGGCGCCTCGGTGGACTTTTTCTTCTGTGACTTCTTTGGGCAAAACCTTCAGAGGGTCGTACTAAATCAGGACCAACACTTGGTGATAGCCATTACTCCCATCTACTGGAAACACACATTTCCCTGTGCCACAAACTTTGACTAAACGATTTAAAATGGTTACAAAATTTGGAATAAATTTAAGGCAAATTATATTAAAAACAAAATTGATTCTGTGACACCCATAGGGATTTTTTTTCTTATGTAGGAATAACTTCTAAGTACCACTTTTTTCTATAATTTGATCTTATTATTTAATGCGTTATTCAAGCATGTTGCAATATTTAGGATTATAAGTATATAATATTATTTTGAACAAATTCGATTGATTATAATTATTAGGAAGAATATAACCAAAGATAACGTTTAATTATAAAACTATAATAAAATCAATACATACATATTTAAAATATTTAAAATGGAGTAAAAACTTAGAAAAGAAAACCTTGCACACCCTTAGGTTATGTATTCAATTTAAATATTTTCTCTTTGATTTACTTACATGGCTGTTCTTATTTATATTAAATATTAGAATTTATGGTTAATTAAAGGATTTTAAATAAACAGAAACACATCTTAAGGAGTTAAAAAACTAGTGTTGATCGTATCTACAACATACAAAAGTTCCGATATGATATTTTGTGAAGAATATTTAATATACGATCCATTAAACTTTCTATTTTTTTCTTATTCGTATAAAATATTTTTATTAAATTGATTCAAATAATTTCAAATGAAATCATGCAATATGCTGTATTTATTTTTGCCATTAAACTATTTACACATTAATTTACTTATTTACTAATTGTAAATTCTAATAAATTTGCCCTCAGAGGAGCAGTGCCATCCGAGTCCTTGCGGCGTGAACACCAAGTGCGAGATCATCAACGGCGTGCCCACCTGTTCGTGCAACCATGGCTACGTGGGCAATCCGCTGAGCGGGTGTCGCCATGAGTGCGACCACGACGGCGACTGCAGCGGCCGGGACATGTGCTCGACCAACTTCAAGTGCGTTCCGGCCTGCGGACAGTGCGGCACTGGCGCCACCTGCCGGACGGTCAGCAACCACCGGGCGGTGTGCGAGTGCCCCAAGGGATATATCGGCAGTCCCTACACGGAGTGCCGGCCGGAGTGCTACGGAGACGCCGACTGTCCCGCCGGACGACCCGCCTGCTTCTACGGCATCTGCAAGAACACCTGCGAGGGAGCCTGCGGCATCGGGGCCGACTGCAACCTGCGCGGCCTGACGCCCGTCTGCAGCTGTCCGCGGGACATGACCGGCGACCCCTTCGTCCGCTGCCGACCCTTCACCAAGGAGGATCTCTGCGACCCCAATCCGTGCGGCAACAACGCCATCTGCGTGCCCGGCCACGACAACACCGGGCGGGAGCGACCCGTCTGCAACTGCCTGCCGGGACACACCGGCAATCCGCTGAGCCACTGCAGCCGGGTGAGTCACTATTTGGGAATTGATAAAAAAAAATACATCAAATTGGGAATTCAAAATTAGAGAACTTAAAAAATATATAAAATACAACAGTTGGAACTAGCTAAAAATAAAGTTTTGAGTAACATATGTAAAATAGATATTAAAATAAATAAATTATAATGAAAAAAAAAAAGAATTAGCAAAAATTAGAAAGAAAAAAGTCTAGCTTTCGAAGTTTAAAAACCCTTGATGTGCTAGTTATTTTTTCTTTAGCAAAAGCATTTTTTTAATTTTTTTAAAGGTTTTATCAACTTGGTATTTCTTATATTGTTCTTTTCTTTATTATAATTTTCTTTTTTTATCAAATTTAAATGTAGTTCCGAAATATTAAACAAACATTACATGGGTAAAATAAAATGTAGAAAATTTATCCGATTTTTAAAAATAACATAAAAAAGAGGGTTGCTGCTTATAATTCAGAAATATTTACCTACCTATTAACTTTTTATAATTTTACCATAACATGTTTATAATAATGATAGGGACTTATTTAAGTTAGAGGTCACTATTCCAATCAAGTATTATATTTAGCAATACACTTCTTTTCGCAGGGTGAGTGCCTGAGCAACAACGAGTGTCCCGACCACCGCGCCTGCATCAACTACCAGTGCATCGATCCCTGCATCGGCAAGTGCGCCACCGGTGCCAGTTGCGAGCCAAAGGCCCATTTGGCGGTCTGTCGCTGTCCACAAGGACAATCGGGCGACGCTTTGGTGTCCTGCCGCCAGACGCGCACCTTCCCGGTGGCCAAGTACCACTAGGGAGGATTCCGGAGGAGGAGTCCCGATGCAGCCGCACTGCCTGCCAGTCCCTTAGTCACCTTTCGTCCCTGCCTCAACCTGCACACCAGTCTATCTGTTCGTCCCCTCGAATTCGCCTTCTTCCCATACTAGTCGTTGCATTAACCTCGTACTCTCTCTCTAATCGAAGCGAACAAAAATGTGTTGACAACAATCAATAATACAAGTAAACATTAAACAACCATGTGCTGTTTTACTGGGGGATTTATCCTTATAAAGGTATTAAGGTCCAGGACCTGCCTGCCTTCGCTTTAAGACCTTTATCATGGAGTGGATTTCGCTTTATATCTTTAATATTAAAAAAAAAAACTAGTTTTAATTATAATTAAAACTATATATTAATATAATACAAACCAAATTTTTTCAAACAGCATACTACTTTCGAGAAATCCTTTCAATCATCTGTTGGGATAAGTTCACCGATGTGGTTAATATTCTCCTGGGCATGTTAAAAATTAAGCGTCGAAGAAATCTTCTGCCCATGGAACATTTCGCCTAATAAGAAGAGAAAAGAGAAATTATTGCCTTGTTTAGAATTTAGTTTTTAAATTGTGAACAAAAAACTACTTTATACTCTTCGATAAACAACCAGTTTATAAACAAAATAGTTTGTTATGGTATTTCTTTTGCTCTAAAGCTTTAAGATTATGTTCTTTGTATAAATGGATGGGCTGACGGGATAATAATTCCTTACTTTTGTTCTATACAAGAGCGAAACAAAATGTTGAAAATCATATTATCTTTTATTTTAATCGATAAAAATATACATGTATATATAAATATAGTATTCTTTTGGTTGGTATGAAATATACGTTCTTTTTAATCATGGATAGTCTTTTATTATGAGTTTGCCGCCCTTTCTGAAAGCGTCTTGCAGCAAAACCAATAACTAGGTCATTTTTTTTGGTACCTAACTCAATACATATTCATCTGATATTCGGATATAGCATAAAATGTCTGAATAAACACACATGGATATCCTAAATAGTTTTAAGTTGGATTTTGAGAAATCTGTTCTTATTGGAATGCCAATAATAAATAAGAAAAAATGTTAAAATAAATAAATAAAATTAGTAGAAAGCGGGAATCTTTTTGAATATCTGAAAATATGAAGCCTGTTCCTCTAATGAAAATCGAGTTTTTCGGATGTGTATATCTATACAAATGTTATTTGACATGTAGATTATTGAAATGTCCACTAATATGTGTAAAAAAAATTGTTTTTCAAATGCACATCATTTATTTCACATCTTGGGATTTTTTTTTATAATCGCCTGAAAGTATGCGTTTGTTTTTAGAGCTGAGTGCCGCGCATTTACGAATCGAGACACTTAACTATTGGTATACTGAAGTATTTGATTTACTGAATTCTTCCTGATTATTTGTGATTTAATTTACACATTTTATTCTTTATAGGACGTTATGATCTTAGCTTCTTTCAATCCAGTTGTCAGAAACTCATTGCAGATCCTTTAGTTTAAACGAGAAGAGAGGAAGTGGTGTACATATATACAATATACCTTTTTCACTCTTAAATTAATTATTATAAAAAGCTGGTTATACTGTATTCAAATTACAGTCCGATCACAACAAATCATGTTTTTGGAAAGATACATTTTTATTCTTTCTGATATTTAGTAATGTTTACTATAATTAAATACAAATCCTGCCTAAAATGAGGTTTTGAAAAAAAAATCAGGCTCATTGGTAGTGATATTTAATGACACCCATAATATATAAATAAGAAACAGTAAAATTTGTAAAAGGTTTTTCAGTTTACCCAGTAATTTCAATAAAGGAATGGCAGTTATAATATCAAACAAGTTCTTAAAAAAGTAAGGCAGTTTCCGAGGCAGTAACCAAAATAAATTGAGATTCAAAACAGTTTTCAGTTGCATTTAAATAAAGTTCTAACATAAAGTTCACCCAACGAAAATGAATTTAAATAAGAGAAAAATAAAAAAGTCAAAATAAGTTGTTGGCTGTGGAATTTTCGTCGTGTTTCGAAGACTTTCAGTATTTAATATTAAAACTATAGGAGTATGAAGTGAAGAATCGCGATCGGAAGCCAATAGTTTGCTGTTTCATCTCCCCTACATATATAGAAATGTTTCGTACATTTAGCTTTCGATAAATAGTCGACCTAATACATTTGTTTGCTGTCGCTTTTGCAATTGTAAATACAATTTTCCGTTTGAAATATAAATATATTCTTGTATATAAATATGCGATTTGTTTAAATTTTGTTTATGTATATATTAATATGTATATAAATTGCTAAATACATTTAATTGCGCTTTACACTTTTACACTTTAATTTACGGCTATCTGGCATTATTCCGAATAAAAACACAGGAGGAAAAAAACAAAACAAAAAAAACGTTGTTGTCTCTAGTGGGTTTTGGGTGTGGGTGTGGGTGTGGATTGTGAGTGTTCTTGTGTTGTTGGTTGTTTCTTGTTTGTTTGTTGGTTGGTGTAAGCTATGTCTATGTGAGTGAGTGTGTGCCGTATCATACGCCGAGAACCCTACAAACTACGCGCCCCCACAACGATTCCATCCGCCCCCGGAGTTGATCCAGGTCCTGGTCCAAATTCCGGTTCCAATCCCCGTCCCACCGCCGCCGTCTGTCCAGTCCAGGCAATGCCAGCTCCCGTGCCGGAGCCGCTTTCACCTGCAGCACTTCCCACCCTTGGTGCCCTTGGGATTGGGCTTCAAATGGAGCGTGTCCTTCTGCTGCTCGTTGGGGGAGGTGCGCAGCTTGTGGTCGAGCACCTGCCGCGTGATCGACAAGAACATGTTCTCCACGTTGATGTTGTCTTTGGCGGATGTCTCGTACAGCTCGATGTCCATTTGTTTCGCGAACCGCTGCGCGTCCTCGGTGATTACTACCTTTCTGTCCGGATCATCGTTCTTGTTGCCCACTGTTTGTGTTGAGTAAATACAGTTTTAGTATATGTATCTATTGCATCTATGGGTTTACTCACCTAATACTTTTTTGACCACGTCGCAGTTGTTCTGGATCTCCTCCAGCCAGCGGCGGACGTTCGCGAAGGAGTCGCCGTTCGTGACATCGTAGACCACGATGACGCCATGGGTGCCGCGGTAGTAGGTGCTGGTGATCGTCCGGAAGCGCTCCTGACCGGCCGTATCCCAGATCTGCAGCTTCACGCGCATCCCCTCGATGTCCACGGTGCGGATCTTGAAGTCCACGCCGATGGTCGTGATGTAACTGCCCGAGAATGTGTCGTCCGAGAAACGGATGAGCAGCGACGACTTGCCCACGCCTGCAGGGAATTTCGATTGTATAGAAGAAAGGCGATCCGATTACTATATGTTTATGATATCATAATTACATATGGGTGAGTAGTGAGTGGTCTATGTGGCATGTGAAAAGTCTGGGTGGGGATTGGGGGAGAGTCTTATGCTCCGGTTACCGTCGCAGCTGGCCTGCTCGGATATCGCACTGTATATCCTGGCAGTGAGTCAGCATTAATCATTCTCAGACAGAGATGATCTGTTTTTTGTTTTGGTGGAAAAATTCCCATAATCTATTCAAAAATTATATGAATATTTGAAAAACCACATAAATATGGAGTTGATATATACAAATATAACATAAAAATATAACATATAAAGTGGAGCTTGAAATAATATCGACAATTGGCTTTTTCTCGATATTTAATATTTTTTTGAATCGATATTGTAAAAATATCGAAAATATCGATAATTTTCAAGCTATGATTTAAACTGCGAGTTTAAACTACATTTTTTAATAGAACTATACAATTTCAATTGATTTTTTGTGAGCTACTTTTATATGAAAATAAATATTATAAAATTTGAATAATATTTAATAATAATATATTATAAAATAATGTGAAAATATCGAAAATATCGATCATTTTCAAGCTATAATTTCAATTGATTTTTGTGGGCTACTTTTATATGGAAATAAATAATATAAAATTGTAATATTTAATAATAAAATATATAAACATAAAAAGCTGACAAATGTTGAAAATATTAACAAACTTAATAAACAACATTACTCATACGTCATGTTGTCGTGGTTATTTTTTTTAGAGATATTCTTTTAGAGATAATACAGTTACAGCTCCACATGTTTACTAGCTAAAATTTGGAGGTAAAAATAAAAAAAATAGCTAATTTTTGGCCAGGAATGTGGGGCAAACTGAAATTTACACCTGCCACTTTTTTACACGGTGCTATTTTTAAGCACCTGGTCGTTGGGAAATGTGGGAAGGGCCTGGGAAACTCACCGCTATCGCCGATTATTAGCAACTTGAACAGATGATCGAAGCCGCGTGCCATTTTTGTTTCTCTTAGTTTTTCGTTTTTTTTTGTTGCGTTTTTCCTTGTTTTTGCAAGTGCTTTTATATTTACAGTTAGGCGCGTCGAACAATGCAAAATATACTTTTGTTGTTTTCCTTTTTTTTTGCGCTGCTTGCTCCCACACTCACACACACACGCACACCCTTCTCTCGCTCTCGCCAACTATCGCCCTCTCGCTCGCACTCGTGCTGCCGGCTGAGTATTGGAGATAAACTGTTGTTCTTTCTGGCTGCTGCTTTGTTGTTGTGGCTGCTGGCTGCTAATGTTGTTGTTGTTGTTGATAAGCTATTGTTATTAGTGTTGTTGCTTTGCGAGTTAATTTATGTAAGTGTTGTTGCCGCCGCCTTGTTATTTAATTTCCTTTGATTAACTTTTTTTTCGGCTCTTGCCGTTTATCAGCGGTTTTTTTTAAGGAGAGAAATGCAGCAGCATGGTATGTGGATTCTTTCAATCGGAATAAATGGCTGTCTGGCGGATAAGACTGCGATTAAATGCCGAAAATCGGAAATTGGCTGGCAAATATTTGCAAAGCTCGACTCCCTCGCAATCTTGCTCTCTCTCTCGCTCTTGTACGCACACACTGGCAGGCGCTCACAGACACCACACACACACACGCAGGGCTTTGGCTGACTGTTGAATTTATCTCGATTTCCTTGGCGGCCTGCAAATCTCCAGTTTCCAGCTTGCAGCTCCCGGAATTTATTTTGTTGCAGCGCTGGAAGGACGGGCGGTGCGGATTTGTGGGCGTCGGCGTTCGGGATTAATTATGCTTAATGTTCCGTTTCCATAAACTATTAAACATCGATTAGAGGTGGGCAAACATCGATGTTTTTACAAATTTTGGAAACATCGATGTTTTTACAAATTTTGGAAACATCGATATTTGCTTTTTGACATCGATGTTTTTCGTCTTAAATATGGTCTTATTAATTTTATTGTTTTGTTTTCTTCTTTTGTCGTAAAGCAAGCTTTTTAGCATAATCGGACCAATATTTATTCATGTAAAATATGCATTGTAAGTATCATTTGTCCGACTTAAGTTTAAAGACTAATCGAATGCCCGTAGTGTGACCAAACTCTTACTAACCAGTGTGTGTGAAGTGTGTCCTCGCTAAGCGTAGCGCATACACACACCACATCTAATTGCTAATTGGAATTTGTTTTAAAACAAATTTTTAAATAATCATTTTTTGTTTAAATTTTCTAAGTTTAAATACATTTTATTTTACTCAGATAAATAATCATGAAAGTATGTGGCTTTTAAATATACATATTTATGTTTTCCTTTGTTTTTGCCTTAATGAAATGTAGAGTTATAATTAAAAATCTACAAGTAAACTAAGATAAAAAATGGAAAACATAAAAAATATGATTTTAATCTTTAGTTTATTTGAAAAATTAACTTTTTTTGGAAGGTAAATCACATCACATAAACATATTTTTGATTCCTTTATTTTTGGAAAACTAAAAAAATATTCAATACAAAGTTTAAGTTGCATACAAAGAATTTTGAAGGTTTTTTTTTTTAAATCATTCAGGTGCTTTTCTCAGCAGTTACAAAAAAAGTAATATTTAAAAAAATATTGGTTAAGTGAAAACTAAAAAAAATTAATCATGACAAAGTTCATATTTGTAAATGTTTTTCTAAATCACATTTCATCAGATAGTTTTTTTCAGCAGTTTCAAAAAAAAGTAATATTTGAAAAAATATTGAAGCGAAAAAAATTAATCATGACAAAGTTCATATGTGTAGATACATTTTTTTTACTATTGGTTAAGTGCCCATAAAAATATGTACAAAAGAGCATACTTTTTAAATAAACTTGTAAATATTCATTCCTTAGATTAATTCAAAAAAAGTAAAATAAAAGGTATTCTTCATGCCAAAAGGGGTCCAAACTTATTACCACATTTTTAGTTAGGAGATCTGTGTGGGTTTTTTTTTCTTTTAAGTGGTAGTTGTACAACGGAAAGTCGTAAAATAATTTAACAAGCTAAACAGAGAGTTATAAAATAAAGTAGCAGCAGCGGATGGAACGCCCGCATTGGGATCCGCTGCCTGGTCGATGTTCTGTACATGGAATGTGTATGTTTTAGGGGATATATCTTGTATATAGTATCTTCCCAACCTACTTGCGGTGGGCCAAGTAGCCCGGCAAGCGGTTGCGCGTCCTGTTGGCCACGCAGGACATATCCATGAGTCCGTGACTGGGATTCGAACTGGCCATTGTCCTGCGGCGCAGGGGCTTCACCTCGTTGGGCGAAATGGAGCGCAGGAAGCGCCTGTTGGGCGACAAGCAGCGTTTCTTCTTCTCTGCTTCCTCATTGGCCTGCTTTTCCTCCTTTTCAATCCTTCTGGCGGGCATTGTGCGCCTGGAGCGAATGGTTGAAGAGGTGGAGCCGCTAGTGGTTGGCTCTGTGTTCTCCTGGTTGTTCTGTGCCGACAGCCGCAGACTGCGGCGTCGTGTGGCAGCTTCCGCAGCTCCTGAGTTCTTGTTTTCCTTTTCCACATCCGCTGCTCCCATTGCCGCCATAGTTAAGCGCCTGGATCTGCGGTTAACCGCCGCCGCCGAAGTGGAGGGCAGCTCATCGGCTGGGATTGCCGGCTGCTTAACTTCAACTGCCCGCTGAAAGACCTCCTCGTCGTCCTCGGTGTCGGTGTCATCCCAGCCGGAGACGCACAGCTTGGAGTGTATAAAATCGCGCGAGTTATTAGCGGCTGTTTGGTTGATTGTCTGGTTATTGGACCGCCGCTCCCGGGCGAAAGTCTCGAGGGGATCGCATTCATCGGAGCTGGAGGACAGCTCCTCTTCGTCGTCGTTGGAATTAATAGAGGGCGGCGGAGCGGGCGAAACGATCGAACAGATGCCGCAAACATACGTTTCCTGATCCTGGGCGGTGCAGAAGCTGTGCGACGGATTGGAGCCGCAGTTGTTGCAGTAATACAGAGAAATGGACGTGTCCGAGCGGCCCGCCAAAGCAAGGCAATCCTCGGCGGTGCAGTCCAGCGGTCGCACGAAATGCTCGGCAAAGGCATTCGGTTCGGTCTCCCAACTGGCGTCCCTAAAAAGGAGATTAAAGGTTATTATAAGGATACATATATCAGAGAACCCGTAGTCTTACTGGCTGGATAGAGAAATGCCCATCAAGGCGACATCGTGGAAAACCTTGGCATTATTGCAAAGCGGGCACTTGAAGAAGTAGCCGGCGGTGTTGGCATAAGCCTGCAGGCAATTTCGGTGATACCAGCCATTCCGGCAGCAGGGAGAGTACAACATGGTGACCACATTGAAGCGTTCGCCGCCGGCGATCAGCGGATCCTTGCAGATGACGCAGGGCTCCTGGTCGCTGGAGGGTCGAAAACGATGATGACGCACATGCTGGTGGCAGTACGACTTGTAGGTGTCCCTGAACTGACTCTGGGCGAGATTATCCACGCCGCACTTGGTGTGGAAGGTGCGACGGCAGCCCGACTTGCAGCATCCTATATTGGCGCCCGGTTTGTGGCAGTAGAAGCAGTTTAGCTGCTTGCAGCGACGCGCCTCCGCCACGATGTCGTCCTTGAGGAAGCGCAGGATGCCGATGCGCTTGTTGCCGCGCTGCACGAGGTTCGAACTGAGGTACTAGATAAAAAAAGGGGAAAAATATATATTTTTCCTGGAATTCCATTTAAATATTTGGTTTTCACCTACCAAACAATTGTGATGCACCATCAATGCGCCCTCGCGAATGGTCTTGCCAAAGATCAGTTCATCCGATTCGCTGCTGCGGCACAACACGCACATGTTCACCATGGCTGCGCTTCGCTTTTACCGCCCTTTTATCCCGGAAACTTATTAATTAGCAAGAAATAACAAATTTTGCAAAAACCGACGGCGAAGAAGAAGAGCGGGACGCGCGCGAAATGCCGATTAATCGGTATGCAGCCCTGCGGTCGACAGGGTTGCCAGACTTGCCTGCTGGATTTTTCGATTTTCGGTTTTGCTAACTGATTGTTTGTATATTTCTCGTTTTGTAACGATTTTCATGTTTATTTAGGGCCCTTGCTGAATACTAACTTCCAGTCTATATGGTTATTTTTATGTTTATTTTTAATTTTCACATTACCAGGCTAATAAGTGTAATGGAATAAATAATAAAAACAAACAATAACATACATAACTTACCGTTATCAATTTGCAACGACTAATAAAGGTAATTCACCGTTATCAATTTGAAACCCTCAACCAGGTGGCAGCCCCGCCATTTATCGATAAACAAACAACGACTAATTTCGCAGCCGCAACAAGTGGATTTTATTTGAAATAGTTATTTTTCTATAATTATGTCGCTCTCCCGACTGAACACACTGATGAAGCTGGCACCCCAATCGGCAGGTAGTTGCCCAGTGCCTCCGATAGGCCAAAATCCCGACCCGCGGGTCCAAGATCTCAGTTCGGGGTTCAAAGTCCGATTCGCCGGGTGAACTTTCCACTTGATTTCATTTTATTTTTATTCCTTTTCCGCCAGCTGCCGCCTCCACCGTCATGCGATCTCCCCAGCGGAACCTCTCCGCCCAATCCCAGCCAGAATCCGGGGTCACCGGTGGCCACCATTTCAAAACCCTGGCCATCAGTTCACCCAAACCCTTCGTCTTCCATGTGGAGCTGCATCGTCCCAACAAATTCAATGCCATCAACAAGCAGATGTGGCTGTGGGTTGAGTAGCTCCTCCAATTTGGATAACCAATCTAACTAGCCCTTCTTCTATTTCAGGGAGATCAAGGAGTGCATCGATGGACTGGCCATTAATCCGGATTGCCGTGCCATTGTGGTTTCCGCTGCGGGCAAGCATTTTACCGCCGGAATCGATCTGAATGACATGATGAACCTGGGCCAAACGCTGGCCGAGACGGATGACTATGCCCGCAAGGGCGTCGTTTTGGAGCGCATGATCAAGCTGTACCAGGATTCGATTAGCAGTCTGGAACTCTGCCCCAAACCGGTGATCACAGCGGTTCACAAGGCTTGTATAGGAGCAGGAGTCGATCTGATTACCGCCTCCGACATTCGCTACGCCACCGAGGACGCCTTCTTCCAGGTGAAGGAGGTGGACATCGGCATGGCCGCCGATGTGGGCACCCTGCAGCGTCTGCCCAAGGCGGTGGGCAGTCAATCTTTGGCCCGCGAGCTCTGCTACACGGGTCGCAAGTTCGAGGCGTCGGAGGCCCATTCCTCGGGCCTCGTGAGTCGCCTCTTTCCCGACAAGGAGTCCCTGCTCAGCGGCGCCTTGGCTCTGGCCGAGCAGATAGCCAGCAAAAGTCCCATTGCCGTGAAGACCACTAAGGAGAGCATCGTCTACTCGCTGGAGCACACCAATCAGGAGGGTTTGGATCACATTGTAAGCTTACTTATAGTATATTATTACAGGGTTCGGAAAATAACACACTCTGTAAAAAACTTGTGTTTAAAAAAAAGTTATTGACATGTGTGTAAAAAATGGTAGCTTACATATGTTAGAAACATAAATAACACACACAGTTTATTTGTGTTATTTACACGACGTGTTATTAACACGTGTTTTTTACACAACATGTTTTTAACACAATGAATTTTTGACATATGATATCCTGGCCCAATATTGATTCTTCATTTTCCCTTCGATTCGTTAATGTCCACAAAATGTAATTTTTATTTGTGTTAGAAACACAGTGTGTAAAAAACACGTCGTGTTAATAACACATTGTGTAAAAAACACAAGTGAGCTGTGTGTGTTAACAATTCTTTTTCACATCTTAACACTTTTGTTTTTGACACACATGTCAAAAACTTTGCTCACACTGTAAAATACAATTTTAAATGTTTTTAACATGTGTGTTAAATTCCGAGCCCTGTATTATTATAAATAAGAGCTTGTAACACCTCCCTAATTTCTTACAGCGCCTGCTGAACAAGCTGAACCTGCTGTCGGAGGACTTTGCCCAGGCCGTGGCCGCCCAATTGACCAAGGACGAGAAGCCCGTGTTCGCCAAGCTGTGATTTACCATGTATTTACAATCTAAAATACACCAGCTGCCTTTATGACTAGGAATTCGATGATAGTGCCTGCAATTCGCGCGGCTCCTTGACGCAGCCCTGCGTTAGCACCTCCACCTGGCCGCGCTCGTTGACCAGCAGATCGTCCTCGATGCGCAGGCCCAGGCCGCGGAATTCGGGCGGCACATCGCCGCAATCCTGGCCAATATAGATGCCCGGCTCCACGGTGAAGACCATGCCGGGCACAATCCTCGTGTTGCGCGGCACATGCGGCGTATCGTGGACATCCATGCCCAGGTAGTGGGAGACGTGGTGCGGACAGAAGCGATATCCCTGGCCGGCCAGCTCCTTGTAGTCGCTCACCGACTTGCCGACCAGTCCGATTTCCTGCAGATACTTTCCCAACTTGTAGCAGGTGGTTTCGAACAACTGATCGAGGGTCTCGCCGCCCGGTTGCATCACATTCGCAATGATTTCGCCCTGCAGCTGGTGCAGCATCTCGTAGAGCGTTCGCTGGGCATCCGTAAAGCGACCACTGGCCGGCCAAGTGCGCGTTATGTCGCTCGTGTAGCCGCCATACTCGCAGCCCGCATCCATTAGCACCATATCCTCGGGTCCAATCAACTGGCTATTGCTTACGTAGTGAATTACAGTGGCATTCCTGCCGGCGGCCACCACCGGCGGATAGGCCAAATGGCTGGCGTTGCGCATGCGGCACTTGTAGTCGATGGCGGCGAACAGGTGATGCTCCGATTGGCCCGGTCGCGTCTCCGCCATCAGCTCGTTGAAGGAGCGCGAGGCTATGTCGCAGGTGCGACGCATTAGCTGCATTTCGGCGCGGGATTTGAGCAGTCGCATGGCCTCTATAAAAGTGTAGGCGGGCAGCAGGGGACGCTGCTGGGAGCCGCTCAAACGCAGCATGTTTTCGGCTAGCGAGGGAAGGTCACTGGTCTTCTGGTCGAACCAAATGTGGGGTTTCAAGGCCGCGGCTCGCTTCTCCAGCACCGCCTGGAGCTTGGACAACGGATGTGCCTCCGTGACGCCGAAGAGGGGAACCGCCAGTTCAGGTCCCGTTCGTGGACCATCCCACAGCTCAGCATGCGCATCCTTGGGCAGCATAAACAGCTCGGACTGGACGTTCTGGGCCTCGTCGATGGTCAGCAGGAGCACGGCCTCCGGTTCCAGGCAGCCGGTGAGGTAGTAAAAGTCCGAGTTCTGACGGAATACATAGGGGATCTTGCCGCTCATGTATTTCTTGGTTCCAGCGCCCAAAACGAACTGAAAAGAATGGGTTTAGATATATAACAATTTTTTTTTTTAAAAACCATATGTAAAATCGGCATAGAAAAATAGTAGTTTACTATTTTCTGAATTTTTCATATATTTTGTTGTCCTATTTTTAGGGTCTTTGAATAGTTGTTAACAATTAAAGTAGTAGAAAACCTATTTAAGAAATTTACACATATTTTGTTGTTTTATTCTCTTGACACATTAATAGTAACTTCTCAATTAATATCGTAGCAAAAATATCAAAAATAACAACACAACTATTTTTTCTCCTTCGTGTATTTTATTGCTTTAAAAATACAATTCTAAATTGTAGGTCAAATATTTTTCAGGACCTCGGGTTCGATTCCGAGCGGAGGCAAATAAACTGATTTGTAAGTTTAACTATCTGTGAAATGTAAGAGTCTATAAATAACTTTCATATACGTTAACATAACAAACGAAAATAAAATTAAAAGTAGTAAAAAAAATAAATTAAAAAAACAACAAATTTGTTCACGTAAATTACTATTTTGTAGGTAATCTGAGGAATTTTTTACTATTTAATAGTTGATTTTACGTGGATTTTTTTGTGTAATATGACAAACTGAAATGGAAATAAAAATAGTAACAAAAATTAATTAAAAAACAACAATGTTTTTTGAGTAAAATACTAATTTGTAGGTTATCTACAATTTTATATGTAATCTACTATTTTTGGATAATTTTCTATTTTTTATGGGTTTGGGTATTTTTCACTATTAAATAGTTGATTTTTTTTTTGTGTAATATGCAATCTCACCATGTGATTGGGACTCGAGTGGCCGTTGAACTCGCCGCCAAAGCTGCGCGCATAGGCGCGTATGTTTTGCATGAGCTGCGCACGGCGCTCCTTGATCTCGGCCAGCTCCACGCCGGGAACCAGCTCCTCCGGCCGGATGAGATGCGGATGCGAGACGCTGGTGGGCTGGCCCAGGTTGCCCTGCTGCTGGCGAAGAATCTGCGCCACGCCGCGCACCTCGGCGGCGTTCACGGTGGCATTGGAGATCGGATTCCCGGAGGAGCTGGGATTTCCAGAGGAGCTCGTGGTCGTTTGGCTCCTGCGGGGCCACAGGCACGTGGAGACGACGGCGCGGCGGCGGGCGGAAGGTGCGAGGAGGCGGTCCAGGCGCCTCAGGACATTCATCGTGCGGCCGGTTGCTTTAAAATCTACAAATTCCACATAAGAAATCCAATCGAATAACAATAACAAGGCGAAAACGGAATAAAAACAAAACGGGCAAAGGTTGCCAGATCGCTAGGTTGGGTAACAAGTGTCCCGCCGATTGGCAGGTGTTGTGATCGATAACTAGAAATGTCATTTTAAAACAAAAGGGTTTATTTTTAAAGCCTATAATCTAGAAAATAAAAGCAAACAGTTCATTTTATTTTATTGAAAAACAATTACTTAACAAAATACTTTCATTTAATATGCTCTAAAATCATCGATACCCCTAGCACTAAGCTTTCGGCGTCATCGATAAATAACAACACTATAATGTAATGTTCTTATCGATAACAGCCAAGTGCATTGTTTTCAGGACTTTTTTAAACAGGATTTACACCTTGAATAGAGTCTGCTACAGTTTCTAGCAGATACCGGCCATGTCAAACGAGGTGGGTGGTGGTAGCTACAATTCAAAACATCCCAACTAATCAACCAAATCCCCGCCAGCAGTGCTTTGTGCCCCGGCTGCCGGTGGACAGCGAGGCGATCCACTTCCATGGATGGGACATCAGCTACGAGAAGTCGCACATCCTGAAGAGCAGCTGCAAGCTGGGCACCGCCGAGGTCTGTCCCAAGGACTCCGCCGACCGCTGCGACCTCTGCCACTACCAGTACTCCCTGGAGCTGCCCCACCTGCCCGACATGGTGTTCCACAAGAACCGGCTGCTCCTCAAGCACAAGGACGGCGCCGTCCTCGAGTTCCGGCCCATGGAGGCCCTGGCCCTGGTGGCCAACGGCAAGCAGCCCCTGGAGGTCGCCTGCGCCCAGGAGTGGCGGGAAACCCGGTGGGTACTAATACCTTATAAAGATGAACCCAAAGATATGTGGTTAATATAGTATTGCTCTCATAAGGCATCCTTAGTTCCGTTGATCCGTTGATATTATTACATAGTTCAAGATCAATACTTATCCTAATCAGAACTAGTCCCAAATATTAGATTTTTAATTGTGGTATATCAACGAATCCATTAAAGACATTTATTCTATTCCGATTTTTCATATTACTTCCGTATGTATACAGACTTTCCTATCAAAAATCCAAATAGATCGAGATCATGTAGATACCACACCTTATAAAGCAGGCATCGTAGTCCCAAAAAGGGGTATATCCATAAATCCAGTAAATAATATTTATTTCTTTCCTATTTTGTACACTAGTTCCGTCTAAATTCAGATTTTACTATAACAAATTGTCATGTAGATCTAATATTAAATACCTAACCAGGCATCATAAAAGATACTAAGCCAACATATTAAATCCTCAATACTGGCATATCAATAAATCCAATAAAAAATGTTTTTTCCTTTTTCTATCTTTCCTATTAGTTCCGTCTGCATACAAACTTTCGTATTAAAAATCCACATATGTACCTCAAGATCATTCACACCTCATAAAATATTTAACTAGATATCCTAATTTATACTAGTCTAAAATATAAAATTCTAAACATTGGTATATTAATATATCCAGTAAAATCAATGTTTTCTTTTCTATAAAAACAAATTCTGGGACAAATTCAAAAGTTTTTCAAGACTAACTTTTAAAAATGTCTGAAAAGCCTCAGAATATTAATAATAAACAATAAATTATAATAATATTAGTATTTAGTGTCCTTATAAAGTACTTAAATCAATAAATCAGAGATCTTCCTACCTATTTTCCTGAAAATTAGTTATATATTCTATTTAAATTGTATAAAGGTTCCCCAATTAATCCACTTGGACTTCGTTATACTAAACAATTCTTCCTTTTCCTCAGCAACGAGCAGACAATGGAGGAGAAGTTCAAGCCCTTCGACTGGACATTCACGTCCACCTACCAGGGCACCATGAACGAGAAGGTGCGCTCGGAGCCCACGGATCAGACGCTCAACAAGTTCAAGCTGATGCAGCGCGAGAACATCATCTTCTACCATGATCTCACTCTGTTCGAGGACGAGCTGCACGACCACGGCATCTCCGTGATGAGCGTGCGAATCGTAAGTGCAACCGTGAAGATCCAATCCCAAAGAATCCATTTGTTAAACAAAAACCCACTCCCTCTCAAATAGCGCGTGATGCCCTCGGGTTTCTTCATACTTTTGCGCCACTTTCTGCGCGTGGACGACGTGCTCATCCGGATGCACGACACCCGCTTTCACCACGAGATCGAGAATGACTTTATATTGAAGGAGTACATCCACCGGGAGGCGCCCTGCTCCGAGCTACAGAATTCCGTGGCCTTTTGGACCAATCCCGATGAAATGCAGAACTTTTTGCCCGTCAAGACCAAGCAGATGCACAAGCTCCTCTTCAAGTAGTCCATTGATTGATCGAAAACAACGTATTGGTTAGAACTGCTGCTATGTGCGTTTATTTAATGCCACCACTGTGCGCATGCGCAGACATTAAAAGCGATTTTCCTAAAAGGCACACTACGAATAAGGCTATTAATACGGATACAATATGTATGCTGAGGATCCCGCCCAGGCTTAGGCGGTTCCAAGAAGGGCGGTCAGGGCCCGCTTGTAGTCGCCAGAAGTCTCCGCCTGAAAGTAAAACGATTTAAAAACGGGATGAAAGCGACTCGAAGCTGAACCTAAAATATGCCCTAATTACACTACAATTACTCTTTATAAATACACAGTTTCTAATGTTAAGCCAATAATGAAATTTTGAAAAGTAACCCAATCTATGTGGATAAAAGGTAGTGGATAGTCTAGCAAATGTAGTGTAAGAATAAGCACTTGCGACCGAGGAGCAACCGAAACCAATGGCGTGGCCAATACTTACGTCCTAGGACAACACAAACACCGTCAACAAATACCGAATACGAGTAGAGAAATGGGGAAAGGGATGCGTTAACCAGGTGCCAAGCACTCGCAATCTTCGCGAGATCCACTTACCACCACGGCGCTGTGGAGCGTCCGGTTGTAGATCCGCTCGAACTCCTGCTTGATCGTCTCCAGGTCGATCTCCGAGCGACTCACGATGATCCGGATGAGGGTGGCGTCATCGGTGCCGGCGCCATTCATGGCCTTGTACAGACGGTTGGCGAAGAAGGCCGCCGGTGACTGGACGCACTCAACTGGAAGGGTTTCGTATATATTATAGGTAAGGATAATCCATAAAACATATTCAAGAATGGTAAAAAAAATTTAATTAAATTCTTTTCTTTTTGTGAAATATTGTGTGTGCCATTTAAAGCGCGAATTCTTTAGGAGTAATACAAAGTAAAGGTGGAAGATTTATTTTTTTAATATTTAAAAGAATGCTTAGTGGCCTTTTGAATTAACATTATCCTTTTTGTTTAAATTTTAAACGTAAGTTTGTTGGGAAGTTTATTAACCATAAATATTTGGGTGCCATTTAAAGCGCGAATTCTTGAGGAGAAATACAAAGTAAAGGTTGAAAGTCGATTGAACTTTTTTAAAATTTTAAAATTCTCATTCTAAGTGCTTCTAAGATTCTTAGACTTAACATTCAATTTTTTTTTAATTTTGAACTTAAGTTTGTTAGGAATTTATCAACAATAAATATGTGTGTTTAATTTAAAGCGCGAATTCTTGAAGAGGAATACGAAGTGAAGGTCGAAAGTTTATTAAACTTGTTAAAACAATTTTTAAATTTCATGCTAAGTGTCATTTCTTTTAATTTTGAACTTAAGTTTGTTAGAAAGTTTATTAACAATGGACCAAAGTCTAGGGTAATAATACAATAAAAAATAAGATATATCACAAGATAAGAGGAATAATAGATAACGATATTCCGAGGCACTTCATAACTTGGCGAGATCTCTCTATTTACATAAAATGACTAATAGTTCTGTGATCTGCCCACAAATTCCCAAGATTTTACTACTCACCTATGGCCATCATGGCCTCGTGCAGCTCGTCGGACATCTCGTGCTTGATGGCCTGCTCGATGGTCTGTCCGGAGAGCTCCTTGTACTCCTCGAAGACGAGTCGCAGCTGCGGGAAGCTGGCATGGGACATGATCCGGTTGAAGACCTCCTCGTCGGTGCCCAGCTTGGCCTCGCCGGCGGAGTAAAGCTGGGCGGCCTGCTCCTTGGCCTCGTCGGGATTGACGGGCGTGGTCAGCCCGTCACGGACTCCGGTCACAATCAGGGTGAGCAGGCGACGGAAGAAGCCCGAGGTCTCGCTGCACATCTGCTCGGCCAGGGGACGCTGGTAGCGCTCCTCGTAGGCGGCCACTATTTGGGCCATCTCCTCGTTGCTCTTGGTGCACAGGATCTCCACGAGCGTCGCCTCCTCGGTTCCAATTCCGGCCATGGCGGCGTGCAGCTGCTTGCACAGGTACTCCACCGGCGGCATCATCAGACCCACGATCACGTCCTCGAACTTGCCGCCCAGCTCGTCCTTCAGATCATCGACCAGATCCCGCTCGAATTCCGCCTCGTAGATGCCCTTGATGGCCTGCCTCTGCTGGTTGCTCCGGCCGGCGAGGATGTCGATGATCTCCTGCTCATCGGTCCCGAAACCCTTCATCGCCGCCCGCAGCACCTGAGCGTCCTGCGAGGCGTCGAAGGGGCTGGCGTTCTTCACCGTGGGAATGGGCTACACGGGAAAAAATAACAGGTCGATATCATAAATAAAAAACATATATAAGATTATTAAATTGAATTTTAATAAATTTACTTTTTTAGATATGTAAATTGTTCATAGAAAAAGGTTTCAGAAAATAAGTATATCCTATATCTGATCATATCTTAAGGACCGGGTTCAAGTTTAAAAAAAAAGGGGACGATATCTCTTATATATAAGAGATATGATAAGATTATTAAATCGAATTTAAATAAATTTACTTTTTTAGATATGTAAATTATACATAGAAAAAGGTTTCAGAAATTAATTATATCGTCATATCTGATCATATCTTAAGGACCGGGTTCAAGTACCACCGCTGCTTAATAAACTTTTCTATATTTGTAGACCAAAATAAATATAACTGACCTGCATCAATAGTTATTTTACATTATACAATTAGGGTGTTCAATTGCGTTGCAAACGTTGTAAAGTGTAAAAGTGTAAAGCAGTTCCAACAACAATTTCTATACAAAAAAATTTTCAAAAGTAGGCCTTTAAAACTATTTTGTATAGAAATTGTTGTTGGAGTTGATATACACTTTTACACTTTACAAAGTTTGCAACGCAATTGAACACCCTAAATGTATATCGTATAACTTTCATTACAACTTATGTATAGTGTTATGTTAAAAGTTTAAAATGTAAAAGTGATTTGGAAAATCATCAAGTGAATCACTAAGTCATATCCCATTTTCTTTCTGTGTAGCTTATGACGCATCGCGGTGGCAAATCAATAAGTGCAATGCTGCAATTTAATCAACATAGTTCACCTGGTAATCCAACTCACCTGGTAATCCATTGTTTAGCTGAAAGATTTCTATTTAATTTGCGAGTATATTCGGCGCTCAGCTTTTAGTTTATACGCGAAAATCAACGTTTCTCTTGGGGTTTATTTGCCCTTTCCTCTGGCGACGTCTTGATGTCTCCGCCTGCTTTCGGTGAATAATTCAGAATGGGAGAATAATTCCGAATGGCAATGCACCAGTGTCTCTTTTCGGTCCTTTCTGCTCTGCGCTCACTACAGAGCATTAGTTTTACACGGAAAGAAACTGTATTCTAAACATTCGAATTTGAGAGAATTTAGTTAGGATACAATTAGTTTGTTTTAAGGCTTTATCTAATTTTGAATTTTTAAGAATAATTTATCTTTAATCACGGTTCGCTAAGAAAAAAATGTTTAGAATCCTTTTTTGAATATAATCCGAAGTCTAATTTATCATAGTGAACTTAATAAATTAATTTAGGAAACAAAAATAGGGTAGATATTTTTTAGGAAGTAAAACATACTATTTTAAAATATTTTTTTTAAATATGCTCGTTCTGATGCGAATTTTTTTTCCTGTGTAGAAGCTTTTGCGAGCGCGACTTTCGCTGGAGAGCTTTTAATTCCACTTCTAGCCTGCACTTGAATTCCAAAGTAACTGAATCATTCGGCACATTCTTTGAATTAATTAATTAAAACCTGCTGATGAGATCGTCAAAATAACGTATGCCTCGTCAGACTTTTAAGTAAGATTGTATGTTCAAACATTTTGGTTGCCATGAAAATATAATTGCATTCTCTATTTGCAAGTCTCGTTTGAATTTTATGGAGAAATGGAAATTGATTTGATGAGCTGCATTGAAAAGTGCGCGCTTTGTAGTACTCAGTATTTTTCAAAACGAATATACCTACAGAAAAAAAATTGGTCAATCTACACTAATAAAATAAAAATTTGGAAAATTTTTGAGGATAATATTTAAAGGTATAGGTATAAAAATATATAAAATATAATTCTTAATTTTTCCGTAGACTTATATGAAATCGGAATTCTCATTTATAGATAAAGATAAAAGTCTGTTATTTTTGTTCCAATAATTCGACAATTTCAAATGGATTCAAGCTTCCTTTACCAGTTCAGTTCAAAACTTTTATTTATTGTAAAGGCAAATGCAGTTTGTGATATGATCTTGTCAAGCGGTAATTCCATTTAATCTCCATCTAGTCAAAAGCCAATTAATAGACATTATCTCGTTGTATGTGTATATAGATATTATGTTTATTTAATCTCGTTAAATAGGCTTCGCTCTAATACATTTACATTTTGGGCTCTTTCGGTCGATCTTCAGTGCCTTTCGTGCTCTCATTCCTGAGCCCCCGTTTTTTTTTCCTGTCCGACCTTCTTAGTCTCTGTCTTTCTTCTTCTCAGGTTTAAGCTTAATACGTTGTTGTATATAATATGTAGCATTTTTAATTTATTTATGTGTTGCTCTCAGCCTGCCCGACAGTCGGTTAAATGATCATGCTTCAATCTTTTTAGTTCCACAAAATAAAATTACAAAATAATAAATCCCATTCGGCAGATCCATTGCCATTATCGATTGAAAATGGGAATGGACCTGGGGGAAAATATCTAATAACAAATTAATGAATATGCCAATCAAACATGCGGGGAGAGCAACTTCTAGTTCTTCTTCCACTGCTCATGTATATATATATCTCTATATTCTGTCGAGTTTCATTAAATAAACCTTCTAATACAGTTACTGTGTGGTTGCCTAGAGAATGTTGCAGTTTCCCTTGATTTCTTTGTTTTTTTGGGGGGGAAAGGGTGAAGTTTCTGAGCATTTGGACTGCGGATGAGTTTCGAGTTATGGGCTATACACAACTAAGGAGCAGTGGGATCACAAAAGATACAAAAAATACAAAATTAAATTTCATTCAAGGACGCTCCTTCCAGGATTCCGTATCGACTATTAACTACCAGTTAACAACTATTGTCCTAGACCTCGTCGCTCTGGTTGAGCTTGATCTCGCTAAGATGGGTATTAAACCGCGACCATTCGTCGCGCGACGGCTGCGCCAGATTCTCGGCCACATCGTAAACGTACAGCTTGCCGGCCTCGTCGCCGATGCAGACATGCAGGCCAGACGGCGTCCAGGAGACGCGATTCAGGGCCGGAGCGCCGGCCACAACGATCGAGGCTGTGGGCACCTCCGTGTCCTGGTTGAGGTTCCACAGGTCCAGGCGTCCGCTTCCGTCGACGGCGGCAAAGAGCGCGGGATGCACCGGCGACCAGGCGACGTCCATCACATAGTCCGAATTGTCCTCGAACGAATACAGCGGCTTTGTGTCCTGGATGAGATAAAAACCACATTAGTCATTATTACTAATAATTAATTAAAATTACTAATATTATCATTATGAGTAATTAATAGACCTCGGATTTTGCATATTTGTCCATTTTTGGTCCGATTTTTACCAACATTTCTAGGTAGGTGTCATATTTTTCAAATATAATAAATTCGAATGCCTATCGGAAATATGCAAAATATATGCAAAAAATGTATGCAAAAAATATTCAAAATATATGCAAAATATGCAAAATATATGCGAACAACTGGAGGCTCAAATTTTTAATGTAGCCCTCTGGCATTCTAGGCAATTTAAACGAGCAGTTTGGCCGATAGGGCTGTTTACTGTTTACTGTTTACTGTTTACTGTTTTTGCCCCCTTCTTGCCTACACGTTGGAAATATAAACAGGGTTTCCTTAAATTTGGGAAAAAATTAGATATCTCAGAGATGACGAAAAGGAACAAACAATTTTCTTTGGTTAAATTAGGTTGGCTATGAAATGGTCAATCTTGAATAGTTGAGTTTGTTTTATATTTTGCATATTTTATGTCATTAATTTTAAACTATATTTTTATTGAAACGAACTTTGGTGCTTACGGAATTGATCTATCTTTATCCTATAAAAATATGCAAATATGCAAAATTCGAGGTCTAATTATTAGGCATCCTTAGCCTTCGCTTACCTTGAGCGACCACAGCTTAATGGTCCAGTCAATCGAGGAGGTGAGGAAGAGGTGGCCAAAGTCCGGCGACAGCTGGTTGTAGTGCGTGGATATACCCGTGATGGGGCCCAAATGCCGTTCGTACACCTCATTGACTCCAGAACGCAGGCCGTGACGCGAGGCGGAGTAAACATAGCCATCCTCGCTGCCCATCACCAGACTGTTGATCTCGTTGGCCGGAAAGGCCATCGATGTGATGGCAATGGCCTTCGATTGGCGCTGCTGCAACTCCAGGGTATCCTGCGGCTGCGACAGCATGTCCAGCGACCAGGAGCACAGCTTGCCGTCCGACGATATGGAGATGACGTTGTGCGCATTTTGGGTGCCAACCATTTGCAGGCAATAAACGGGATGCGTGTGCGCCGCGGCACTCAAAGGAGTTCGCTGGATGGGCGTGCGCTTGGCCACGCGATTGTCCCACAGCACAATTTGGCCCGAATAGGTGCCGCCGAGAATCAGATTGGGATTGAATTTGGCAAAGCACGTGGACATCACCGCGCTCTGACAGTGGAAGACATCCTCGGGCGTGCTCTTCTTGAATTTGGTGTTCCAAACCATCACCACGCCGTCCGGCTCGTTGGGACTCTCCTCGTTGTTGTGATACGAGGCCACCACCAGCTCCGGGAAGTGTGTGGACCAGTCCATGCTGGTGATGCAGCGGTTCTTCGACCAGCGTTCGTCGTAGAAGACGCGATTGAGCGACAGGCGGGCATGCGAACGCTCGTCGTTCGCCTCCTCGCTGTCGCCGCCGCCGATGTAGTCCGTGTAAATGTCCACGTTCTCCGAGAGCGCCCGCTCGATGACGCGGCCGGCGCGCACCACGAACCGCTTGAAGTCCTCCGACAGGATGATCATCTGCTTCTGCTCCTCGGATAGCTCGTTCACTGAAAGAGTGGCAAGGAATTAATTACTATTTATTTTTTTTTTTTATTTTGTCAAATTAAAACTAGTATACAATACTTAATTTAATGGGATAATGGCACTGGAAACTGAAGTCCTTCGGACGATTTAATTAACAAATTATGTACATTTATAGGAAAATTAAATTTTTTTTAATCTAAAATTTTTTTTTTAAAAAATGTAACTAAACACAAAATAAACATATTCCCGTAAAATCGATATGGCCATGCAAATTTCAGGTCGTTTTTACATAAAATGCTCTTTTCGAATGAAGACTTCTTCAGGAAGTTAAAAAAGAACAAAATTAAGGTATTACTTTTTTTTTTTATTTGGTCTTCTTTTTAAAATGTCTTTTTTTCAGATAGCTATCCTAAGTTCAAGAGCGTTTTCTGTACATTTTTGTGCTAATTCGGCCCATAACTAATATTTGAATAATATATGACGCCTCCTTATGTGGAATTCATCCCTTGACGGCATCAACCACTTAGTAAAAAGAGCAGGTCATGAGTTTCCTCGAGTATTTTCGGAGATGCATCCAACGAAGAAATCGAGTTCGCAGATGAAGAAAAGTGAAATGAAGGTATTACTTTTTTTTTTAATTTTGAATCTTTTTTTCTAAAAATGTACTCTCTTCCATATAGCAATGCTAAGTTCAAGAATTGTAAATGTAAATTTTTGTGGTAACTCGGTCCCTACTATTTGAATAATTTATGACGCCCCCTTATGTGGAATGACGGCATCACTTATTTAATAAAAAAGTGACTCTTATAAAAATAAAATAATTTTTATCACTCACCCTCCTTCTTCACCTCGGTCTCCTTCTTGATCTCGAGGGGCGTGATGGCCGGGGCGACGTCCTTGACGGTGGGCAGGCCGTGGGTGAGATAGCCCGGTGGCAGCTTGGAGGTGAATCCATTGTCCAGGTTCTGCAGCGAGCTCTCTTCGTCGTCTCCTTGGGCATCAAATGCAAGCACTGTTTAAGGTATAAAACTAACACAGCTAGAGGAACATGACAATCGACAGAACAGGAACAATTCTACTTTCGGCTCTTTAAATTGATTCGATTCGAGATTGAGTTTGATTTGGTTTTTGAGTTGATTCGTTTTCTTTTTGCGTTCTTCTTCGTCTTCGTTTTGCTTGGCAAGGAACTGCAATTTTCTGAGACTTTTGGCTTTGTTCATTTTTTTTTGTAAGGGTTGCTGGAGGCGGGATTTTTGGATTGGGCAGGATTATGTTATGATATAGGATGGTTTTGGGCAGGGGGTTATCTATGAAGCTTTGAGTGTGAGCGGGACAGCAATATAGAGATAGGGAGCAAGAGGTGCAGCACATCGATTCTTCTCGCTTGGTTCATCTTTGGAGTGTGGGTGTGTGCGTGCGTGCGTAAAATCGGGAAAAGAGAGACAGAGAGAGAGAGAGAGGGGAGATGTGGCGGCAGGTGCATGGCTGGTAATAAACTGTTAAACACTGTTAAAGGCACTCACACAGGTGCATATATCAGACTGTAATTTGTTATCGATATATACAATGTTAGGGCATGGACAGGTGAGTATGCGAATGTTGTGCGCTTGCTGTGGTTTTCGGTTTCATTTTTTGTTTCGGTTTTTTCCAACCTAGTTAATATACAAAGCCAATTACTGAAATCAAAAAATTTACAATTTCCCTGCTTTGGTTTAGCTCTGTTTCTGTTTCGATTAACTCTATCAACGTTATCGCTATTGTACATCGTTTTTTTTGCATTTTTCTCCACCCATTTTATAATTGCTTGCACTTAAAATTATTTAGTTTTATGCTAGAAATATATTACACATATATTAAACATGGTAAAGTTAACGGCCGATTGATCGATTTCGTTTCTGTTACAGTGCTGTAATTGAAGAGGGTATCGGTTATCGGGATCGATAGCTGAGAGAGAGAGACAGGGTATCGCTCGCTGCCAAGTTTGTGTGAGAGTGAGTGAAATAGAGCAAGCCTAGCATCCTGTCGCTGCTGCTGTTTTGTTCTTTTTTTTTCATGAGAAAGGTTAGTGGTTAGGACAGAGTTATCTCGGGTTTTAGGATGAGTGATTGGGATTAGCAACACGACACACAAAGGAGGGAAGGGGCGGGGCAGGAGCATTAACAGTCATGCAAATGTAGGCTGTACACAAGCAGAAATGAAGGAGCGAGAGCGAGAGAGACAGAGATAGGCAGGGCACGGGTCCGTTATTTTCAGTGTTGTGAGCGCGAGTGTGTGTTTGCGGTTCAATTCACTTTCCAACACTGACACCTCAAAGGATCGATTTTCAACGCGCGCTTTATTTTCTTTTCTGTTCTGTGCTTTTGATCTGATTTCGTTTCGCTTGCAAAGTGAGAATTGGAACGTTCCTATTTTGCTTCATGTCGATTCCGTCACTGCTCAATATTTTGGTTCGGGCGGCTGGCCTGTACCTACCTGTGAATTCATCCTCCCACTCTAAACCCGGATTAAGATTGTATTCATCTTGAAGAAATATAAAGAAATAAATATATTGTACATACATTGCTGATAGTTTGGTATTTTGTGACTTCAAATCAAAACGAAAAAAAATCATGAGTTTGGCTTTAGCATACCGCCCATTAAAATCGACAAGTCAATCGATAGTCAATGTTTAAAGTTTAAACAAAATGCATACGGTAAAAAAGTGAATAATGTTGGTTTTTAGTGTGCTTAACTTTTGTTGCTTGGCGAAATTATCACACACGAATATGAATAAATATGATTATATAGGGTATTATGTTTAAGTACTATGTATTAGCACACAAGCCTGGCTTATATGATGGAACACAAAAGGTAGCAGGGAAGAGAGTTTATAATACAGCTTAGGACGTTTAACTAATATATCTGATAGTTAATCATACAAATGATATAAAGATAAGGCTCTCGAATTCGTGCTTACAAATGGAGTTTCGTTTATACGAGTGTGTGTGTGTTTGGGTTATGCATTTGTTTCTTAGAGGTTATCAAAGACTTAAAATAACTGTAGGATAAATAAATCAATTAGAGTTATTCGTTGGTTATGCTAAAAACAGAAAAAAAAAGAAAAATTCAAATCATAGCTTTCGAACGATTGTTATATGGAAACCCCTAATAATTACAATGATTATACATAAACGATAAAGTCATAAAAAAAAATTATAAAACTTAAAATGAATACGAAGAACTACTTAAACGAATTAAAAACTTATAAATTGGGTGGAGAATACAAATTTTTTTTGTTGATTTTCATTTCGATATAATCGCTTAACACACAAAGTCTATTTGATCGGATACAAACTGAATCTCTTACCATGTGGTTCTAGAGCTAATTGAAACAAATCAGATGTAAATCATATAAAATGTATACAAAGGTATATATATAAGGTCCCAATTGGGAAACAAATCAAACGACCGAATCGGAAACGAAGATCGAAGGAAAGCAACTACGAAAAGCTAGGACATAAACATAGATAAATATACTATATATAGATAGGACATAGGATAACACGATATCGGGCAAATACTCTACGCAAGTCAGAGGAATTATATAGAGAGTGTTGTGGGGAAAGAGATAGATAGATAGATAGATTGATACAAACTACACAAATACATAATGCGAGTAAATTGAGAAGGGTTCAGATTCAAGTTACAGGTTATATAGGCATACGATACGCTTTACGGGTGGTACACAGACCGCTACGGAGGCTGAAAAGTTCTAGGTACAAGATTACGCATACAACGAGGACTACTCACCATAATAATCCGTAGCATGAGCTGCAGTTTTTTTTGCGTGCGTGCCAAAAACAGATAAGGGGGAGAGAGAGAGAAAGTAAATAGACAAATTATTAAATGCGCTCAAAAGGTGTAAACGCTAATGATCTATGGATATGGATATGGATAGATATGGATGTGGATGAATGGATGCCGGACAGCGGACAAGATGCGTGGAAATGGGACGACTCGGCAGCGTAAATGAATCAAAACAAAACCAATGGGTGTTATGATTTAAGGGGACGTAGTGCTACCAACAACCTTTTACGGAAAACGGGGCAAATCGAGTAAATAAATGGGTTAAAAGGCTCAGGGGTGAACATGACACATCTTAAAATTAATTTTAAAACATTACAAATACAGGGAGGACATAAGAATACACAGTTTAAACATTTTAGATTAAGATTTAATGAGTTTTGCGATAATTTTAATATGATAAGCTGGTTGAAAATAATATAGATGATGATTTTACCCAGTTTTAATATGAATCTTTATGCCAAAATAATTTCATATCTTTTAAAAATAAAATAGGTCAAAATAAAATAATTAAAGTCGGATTGGCAGCACTGGCGGTCAAAATAAAATGCAGATGGGGCAAAACAAGACAAAGCTTTTAGAAGATGACTATTTTTCTTGGGGATTGTAACCAAATCGAGTTGAAGCAAAGCAAAAGGAAGCTATTCATATTTTTCAGCAGCCGATTGAATAATCCACCAATTTGTTGCCTATACAATTTTACAGAAATACTTTTCTTTCTGCGAATACCCATGTTTTTGTCATAACAAAATTCGTGTGCTGGTGTGATTGGGTGTGGAGTTTGCTTAAAATTAAGATTAGTACCTTTACGTGGACGCCACCAGTCCTCCATATATCCTGACAGGGGCGAGGAGTGGCAAGAAAGAACTGTATTTGTTATTTTATTTCACTATGGATTATGGTTTTCTGTTTGTATCCTTGTTTTTTTTCTCTGCTGGGAGTGGCTATGGATATGGATATGGTTGGACGGGGACGCTTGATGGGGGATTGAAGCGCGGAAAGGGGTTCAGCATGCAGCGATATGAACTAGCGCCGGGCAGAAAAGGACACTGGATTAGTTGGGGCTACAGATATGGACAGAGAGTGAGGTTCCTCCGACGGAGACGGGAACGCAGGGAAGCCAAAAAACACAGTTAACAACCAAGACCAAGAATAAGAACGGCAACGGTAGCGAAAGATGGAGTCAAACTATGGATAGTGGTTACAGTAGAGCCCTAAAACCCCAGAACCCCCCATTCCCGGGGGCAATACGCACCATCGCCGTTTCCTCCGCCGGTGCTGGTCGTCTGCGTTTGTTTCGTGTACACCAGCGTCTCCTTCGGTGGAATGTTCGTGGCCTGGACATTGTAGACGCTCAGGTTCAGGGGCTGCTTCTTTCCGCCGCTGGAATGGAGCACATTAGAGGTAAGTATCAACTGAAAACGTGAAAGCTACTCCTTGCACAGGTCTTGCTACTCCTAAAACATTTTCCTCATCAAATGTATTAAAATTAGGTTTCGTCAACTAAGCTAATCCCCTTTTTGAAGTTTTATTAAATTGTTCTGATCAGAATCTATTCAACGGAAGATTTATTTATGTTTTTAAGTATAAAAGGGACTTATAGAAACCGATTCGATTTAGAGAGCCACAATTAAGACTATAATTTTTAATACCTTGCTATCCAAGTTCATTAGAAAGCTTAACTCATTAAGGTAAGGCTCTGCAAAACTCTTTTAAACTCAAAAAGATCAAAGATTAAGTTCATGTGTAACTTCCTTAAAGCTGGTAAATACCTAAACACATTTTTAACATTTTTAAAATCAAACAGAACTAAGATTCAAATTATTTGTGACTGTAAACAAAAGCTGAGAAATACTTAATAACCTTTTTAAAAATCAAACAGAACTAAGATTAAACTCGTGAGTTGCTTAAAAGCTGGGTAATATCTAAAAACCTCTTTTAAATCAAGTATAACTAAGATTGAAGTAATAAGCGACCTCCAAAAAGCTGGGAAATACTAAAATCCTCTAAAAAATGAAATACAACTAAGATTGAAGTAGTGGGCGACTGATAAAAAGCTGGGAAATGCCTAAAAATCTCTTAAACCTTTTTAAAAATAACAAATATAACTAAGATTCAAGTAATAAGCAACTGTCAAAAAGCTGGAAAATACATAAAAAGTTTTTTACCTTTTTTAAAATCATATAGAAGTAAGATTGAGCTCATGGGCAACTGACAAAAAGCTGGGAAATTCATTAAAACCTTTTAAACCTTTTTTAAAATCAAGTATAACTACGACTGGAGTAATAAGCACCTGCCATAAAGCTGGGAAATACCTAAAAACCTTTTTAAAAATAAAATAAATCTAAGATTGAACTCATGAGTGACTGTCTAAATGTTGGGAAATACCTAAAACCTCTTTAAAAATCAATTCTAACTAGGATTATACTTATAGACGACTATAAAGCTGGGGAATACCTAAAAACCTTTCTAAAAGCCTCTATTAAAATCAAATATAACTAAGATTAACAAATTTAACTAATAAATACCTAAAAAACCGTTCAAGTCTCTTTTAAAATGAAATACAACTAAGATTTCATTTATGAATGACTCCGAATAAGCTGGGAACTACCTAAAAACCCTTTTAGAGTGTGACCTATTAGTTTAAACTTCTGGCTAACATAGAAACTGGATCCACTAGACTTTCTGGCTCACCTCTGGCCATTGACGGTGGCTTGGAGGCTGGCGTCGGGGGTCTGTGTGTTGGAGTTGTCCGAGGTCATCGAGTTGACGGAGGAGAGCGAGGAGAGGACCTCGGAGACGGGGGCCACGCCCAGCGATGACAGCATTTCGTCGAGATCCCTGGGAGGAGGTGAAAGGTGAAGAAATGAAAGATGGAAGGACTTTCCAAGGGGGCACTTAGCAAACCCACTTGCGCTGATCCTTGTCGATTCCTGCACCGCCGCCAATGCGACCGGCCGCCTCCTCCATGTCCTTGATCTCCTTCTCGCGCCGCCGGCGATCCTTCTCCTCGCGCAGAGCGGCCAACTTGGCCTTCTTGCGTTCCAGCTCAGCCTTGCGATCCATTTTCGGGGATTACCTTCTGGGATTCGGAGTTTTCTCAGGGGGTCTTCTTCTTCTTTTTAGGGGGATCTCTGGATCTCTTTTGCGGGCCAAGTTCTCTGGAAGGGGGAAGAGGGGAGAAGAGGGGTTAGAGAAGGGGGATGATTAATGGTCACCAATATTGGTAACTCTGATGATGTCACCAACTGCTGGCCAAGAATTTAGGAAAGTGGGTGTGCTTGGTTGGATTTTCCGTTTTCTTTAGTTCTTTCTGTTAGTATAACATCTGGTTTTCGCAGCGCCACTTGCTCACATTTCCCCCGAAACGCAGGAAATCGCAATCACTTTCTTTGCAAAAAAAAAATCAATAATCCAGTGACGTCTTTTCTTTCTACACCTGTGTTCTTTTCGCTTTATACCACTTTTATATGGTATTATAATGGAACACTTTGAAACACTCACCTCTTAAGGGATCTAATACGTTTTGCTGCTGCGTTTAAGTACTTAAATCGACATTTTTCCACACGACAAGACGAAGGTAAAAAATGTTTTAATGTTTTGACTAACTATGGCAGAGAAACTAGGGATGGAACATCGCCAGTGACCCGTTACCAGTCACGGTATTGTCACTGCAGTTAAGAAAGCAAAGGGAGTTGGCTTATAAAGAGTCTTGAGGGCGACACAATAAATAGTAGGATAAACTGGGACTCTTAATAATTGTCCCTAAATATCAGGTATTTACCAGAAAAAAAGCTCTTTGTTTGCTTATTGGCGATAGCAGTGAACAGCTGTCGTGATACAGCGATAGTTTAACAGCTCTCAGTTCAACTGTCTGGCAGCACACTTGCGCCTGACAGCACACTGTTAGTTACAGTAACATTTTGGAGCAATGTCAATTGCACGGAACTTGTAGTTTTTCTTGCTAGTAACTGTCTACAATTATTATTAAAGGAATACGAACTAAATAACGCGTACTAGTGATTCTAAAATGTCACAGTTTCAGGTAAGCAAATAGTATAAATATTGTATATTAACATTAGGTTAACAGAGTGTAATAGTGCCTTGCACTCGATTATTTCTGCCTATCGGTGATTTAAATCAACTATAGTGAAAAGGCGGGAAAATATGAATTTAAATGTAACTACTCTATAATCAATTAGTTTATTTATACAAATTCTTCGCAACTTCAATGTTTGCAAGTACACATTTGCTTAAAATAAAATATAAGTATTCCATTTCATTATTAGCCTATTATTGTGGTCTATTTTCTTTTTGGTTTTATTTTTTTTTTAAATAAAGATTTAAATATATAAATTAAAATGCGAATAAAACACATTCAAAATAAGATTATAATCAAATTAGTAAAAATATTAAGTACCTAAATATTTTATTTATTAATTTTTTCTTTTAAAAGTTCTATAACATTTAAAATTAGTAGGTTTAATTTTCCACATATTCCCACAAAGCGGCTAATTACATTCCATGCGCGTTAGGCGGCAAGTGAAATCCCAAGAACCTGCCATGAAAATAGAAAGCGCAATTAAATGATTTTTCTTTCTGTAATTTATGCCACCAATGCCAGCTGTTGCTGCATTGTATTGTTGTATTGCAGGTGACTTTACAGTTAAAGCCGACTATAAATGCAGATACATACGTGCTATCACCTGAAAATTGCTTTTCTGACCCCACAAAATGACCCCAAAATGCCAAAGAACCCTCGGCAAAGGGCAAATACCCCTATGTTTGGACCGTTTTTATTTCTGGTTCGATTTTGGCGCATCTGCATTTAAATGCCAGCATTTGACGACCCAAAAACTGAAGACCAATGCATATTAAGTCGGGGCTCTTGAGTGGCTCATTTCGTAACCGCATTGATAAACCGGACTGGAATCGATCCCATCCGATACGAAACGATCCCATGTTGCAGTAAAAACCTTGAATTGCCAAATCTTTAACTGCTTTTTGCTCCAGGCTGACAAATCTTGCATATTGGGGAGTTGCCAAACCGAAGAGCGGCATTTTAATTTTTCTTCTTTTTTTTCTTATTTTTTTCTCCGCTAATTGCAAAGCAAACCAGTCGCATTCACACGCACACTATCGAGATTTAATCGTGATTAGTTTACAAATTAATTTGCCAATTGAATTTCAGATTTGGATTTGTGCTTTTGCTTCCAAGAACCACCAGCTCTATAAGATCTATAATGTGAGATCCAGCGAGAGTAAAAGTGTATTTTTAATTAGCCACTCCACAAAGCGGCGAACCTAAACTAGTTTTCCAGCCCGTCTGGTTTTGCCGCATCTCGGATGTCTGATTTTTATTTTTTCTGTATTTTTTTTTGATCGGAACGGATCGCATCTCCCAAGGACAGCTGCTTTTGGGTCATTGCGTGGACGTTTAGCATATTTATGCATATATTATGTACATATATTACCGGCATGCTGCGATCTTCGAGTGGAAACATCGGGATGTGACACAGTTTTCCTTCCCCAAAGAGATGAATCCCATGGGCGGAGAAACAAAATGTTGTATCGAATGGATTTCAAGAGCAAGTTAGATAAATAAATAATATGGATCAGTTGAAATTGATACTTACAAGTGAATAATTTTAAAAAGATACCAGAAATATTTTAATAAACCTTTATAGTACAAAAAATAAACTTTCATAATTTCCCAATATACCTAATTATGATTTTCCTTTTTATTTAATAACCCAATATTTAATTACCTTTGTATATTAATATCAATAAATATTTGTTTTTTATAATTTTTAAATTATACAATTTTTTATAACAACTTTTTATTAAAAAGCATTTAGAAAAACCAATCAATTGTAGAAATAGACAATGCAAACTTATTCCGCCCAACATGATTAAACTGAAGGTGTATCATCGTTTTCGATTGGCAGGAGTGGTAAAAAATATTAAAATATAATTAAAATTACTCTGAAAAGAAAAGAGATTAAGATTTTAATACGATTTAAATAATAGATTTTTTTCAATAAATAAAATATAAATTCTACGCCCATGGCGAATCCTCTTCAGCCTTGAAATCATTTTTTTGGCTGGACTTTTCGACGAAAGGACGGCTTGTCTTTCACTTCATCTCATCGCCAATTTTGTTGTATTATCTCTTGTTTTTCTTCATGTTTCACTTAATTTGTTATGGGCTTTTGTGTGGTGGCCTTTTATCGGTGTAACGCCATTTGCATGCGGCCCATCAACTCAATTCAACCCGACTCAACAAAACTCAACTCACAATCGGCCCCGGGGACCCTTGCCGCATATGAATTTGTTTATGTTCATTTTCGTGTCGTTTTTTCGGCCACATCGACACTCACTGATCACTGGGAACGGGCACCCTAACCGAACAGGATCCATTGGCCTTTTGATCTAACTAGTTAACTTCATGTCACATTGGCATTTCTTAACGGTCAACACCCGGAAGCGGTTGCCGTAGAAGCTGTGCATTTATCTCATGACTCAACTAATTTTTACCCTTCTCATAAGTATGTTCATTTGACTTTTCTAGCTCACATCGAATATTTGAACATATAACTTCCTTAGTTTTTAATAAAATAGATCCCACTTAGACCCCAATCTGATATCCAATATCTTTTAAGAATTAAACACATAATCAGAATAATTTCTTCACTTGTTATCTAAGCACTAAAGAATTCGCGGTTTTGTTTGAGTTTCTCGAAAATCACAATTAACTGGGCATCATCAATGTTATCTTAAAGATGGTGGTAAATCGAAATTGATTTAATAACACTCAAAATCGCATGACCAAATTTATTATTTACTCTGATCGAGAAAAGCCCGCTCTGAAAAATTCACGTCAATACATTTTGGTTCTTTTAGTATTGAAAATAAATCACAATTAGACAAAGAAAATATCACCATCTAAAAATGAGAATTGTCATTTCATTGGCCGTTAGATGTTACCTAAAACACAGATCATGCTTTGTCGGTTCTGAAGAATTCGCGTTGATAGATTTTAGTTCTTTTCAGTATGCCAAATAAATCACAATTAGATCACAATAAAGGGCATTTTAATTTCTGGCCATTAGATGGCGCTAAACTCTGTCTGCTCTGAAGAATTCGCGTTAACAGATTTCAGTTCCTTTTAGTATGGCAAATAAATCACTATTAGACATAAAAATTATCATCACCAAATAAAATGAATTTCCATTTCTGGCCGTTAGATGGCGCTTGAATCACAGATCGAGCTTGGGCTGCTCTGAAGAATTCGCGTCGAAAGATTTTAGTTACTTAGGGCATACCGCCAGCGGTTTTCCGCACCTCGTCTCTGGAACTTTCTTGTTTTTGTGCCATTACATCTCCGGCTCGCCTTTCTTTGCCGCCTTAGCCGCCTTTACCGCCTTTGGAGCCCCAGTCGCAGTGCCAGCTCGTTTGGCTTGGTTCGGTTTCGTTTGGCTCGGTGGAAGTGGCAGTGGCAGTGGCGGGGGCGGTGGTGGCCCCGCCCATTCGCATCGCTCGGCCGCAGTCGACGCCGGCGTCGCCGTCAACGTCGATTGGGAGCCGAGCCGGTAAAAAGTCTTGAAAAGTGCGCCTCTTTGGCGTTCCGTTGTTAGTTTAGTTTAACCATCGCAGCGCTTGAGTCGCGATAAGTTGCTCAGAGGCCCAAGTTCCCAGTTTCCCAGGATCGTCTCTCTTTTGTTTTTATTTTTTTTTATTAATAACAGTCCAAAATGAAGTTATTTTTATGTGCCATTGCTGTGACGCTGTGTGTGGCGACAAGTGAGTGTGAATCGGAGTCAAACAATGGATATTTGGATATATGGAGCCGTGGGATTAACGTTTAAACTTTAAAGTGATTTTTGGCCAATTCAATGCAATATAAAATCCGGTCCGATTCAATCCGATCCGTAGAAGTAGCAACTTGTTGCTAATTGCTTTGACACTGACACCAAAATGTTTGTATTTTGCATACCGAGCGTTTTTTTTTTGGCCATAAGTCTATAAGCTACAGGCTATAGCTAATGACATTTAGACTTCTCGCAAGATTGCGTCCTAGCCTTAAATCCAATCCGTAAGCATAAACGAGATGGTGGAGATGGAGGGCCGGC